GGTTTGCGTTTTCATGCAAATCACATGACTGTCATGTGTGCCGATTTCTGTCTAAATCACATCCATGCAACATGCGCATAATCCATGTCATCTGGGCGTATGTGCATGAAAAATGCTTCCACGTGACGGTTCTACTGTGCAGGGACTAACATAAACTTTGCCCATTGTCTCAATCGTGTAGAAGCTCTCAAATGTGTTGCATAAACTGACTATCACGTAGGATCCCTTCTAGTCCATTGAAGTTGTCAAGAGGACGTTTATATACATGGCTTTCACGAGATGGCCAGGAGCATTACCTATTAAAAATATTGCCTGTGAAACGGTTCCTCAGCTCTTCATCTGAAGGTGGTTAGGGAACCCTGGATGCCCATCTTCCACAACAAACGGCAGTAGGCACATATTCCGATTGGGGTTATTTCACGCTTTAACTGCACTCTGAGGCTACACTCGATTCCAAAGTACAACCCATTACATCTAAGTGGATAATACTGTAGAATGGTTCCGTCCACAGCTGAAAGTTTAACCTTTATCAGCAGGCATGACTCAGGGAACCATGAATGGCTGTGGTCCGAATGGTTGTCCACAATGCTTTAAGGTAACTCTGGATGTGCTTCTGCGGAAATACTCTGAAAAACTGCTTTACAATTGTTAGTTTGGTGTTCTCCGCGCTTCGACATTCTGTCGTGGACTTGGTTATATCTTCAGCACTAACCTTATGAATTTGTGTGCATAGTGAACCATTTTTTATGTTGATTCAACACGTAGTGATATAAATTCCTGTTCAGTCTTATCAGTGTCTTGCCAATATTATGAACGAACAAAATAGTCATGCATCGAAAATTGATAAACGATTTATTTGATGTCTGTTAAGTTAAAGTAAAAATATTATAGTCATTGTATGTTTCACACGGTTTCCATCATTTGAAACCTTTAGTTGCTATCTTCTGTGCACAGGACCTGTTCTGTTTACTATGTCTCTCGCAAGCATTATTCACCACACCAATGGATCTCTTCTACTCCTTAATCACTTGGTGCAAGAACTAACGTGCAGTTCACTTTGCGGAGCTTTCGCTGGTACACTCTCAAATCTTACTTCTTCATCGCTTCATGGCTCTGTCACCACATATACGTACATAGTGAAGTGATTTTTCAAATTATTAGTCAGATACCGTTGCCAGGAAAAAGGCTTTGGCATACTAAGCTTGTTTTCTTTGACATAACTTGGATTGTCATAGGAGTGTGCCAAATTATTTACTTAAATATCTGTTCATAGCGTTATGAATTACACTGAGGGTTGGGACCTGATGCAAAAGTTGAATTGCGCTTGGTAGATATAGCAGTTGTGGTAGTTTTTCGGCACTAAAAACCACCTTCGGCACAATCTTTCGAGAATTCGGGCAGTCAGTGAATAAATGGATCAACAGGTTTTTGCAATCCCCAATCTAACTCAGGGTAGAATCATCATTTGATGAGCCAGAAATGTGATAGCAGTCCGTGAACATTGGACGAGAAAATGGTTGAAGAAATTGCGAACGGCATTAGACTTATTTGACCGCTGTAGCAAAAAACAACAGGCCAAAAATCATATGCAATGTTAGGCAAAGGTCAATAATTGGTGAGACTAAGTGGCATGGCACTTAACTTCCCCCAGAGCCAAGAAAGAAGAACAAGGTGTGTAAGTTTCTTCTATGCTCACAACTAAAGCAGCTCGCAGTAGATCACTTCTTACAACCGATCAACCGATTCTTTCTTACTTACCTTCCAGGACCTTCTGACAAACATCTATTCATGTAACCGACAAAATGTCCGGGAGAAACCGCTGCGTTTCATTGTAATAGCTAGAGAAGCGAGAGCTCGAAAGCATTTTTAAAAAACTGCGAAGGTGCACGAATCGTGGGTATGGCATCCAAACAACTTCACCGGAGTAATGTATATCGCCTGAAACTATTTCTAGCCGCAGAACAAGTTCTGTTTTAGATGTCTTACCAAATCGCATTAGATATTGGAAAGTGAGGGTTGAAATTCAACCAGTAACAACACTTCAAGGTTTGTAACATATTCGAAACCGTACTGATAGCACTATTCATGTTTACACCTCTTCCACTTCAGGGTACAGCACAGAAAGTATTAGGAGAAGCGGAACGGAGAACGCGCAGACTTAGCATTGACCAGGACACAAAACTTCGTCTGGAATGAGAGCTGTTTTGCACCTGCTGAGTCCAAGCTGTGACCCGATTAAAGACGACACCGTGTGATTCCTGTGTTTGCTGTGAGTCTGCATGCCTGCAACTCCTAGGGGTGTCTACGTAATTAGTGTGGAGGGAAAAAATACGCAAGTTGAAGACAATGAATCCAACCACCTATGGTGAGCCGCCCCCGCTCATAAGCAAACCCTGCAACTCTCCTGTGGAACCTTATGCCACCTTACGCAAGCCTCTCATCTTTGAAATATCCTCAGACTACCAGATGCGGAGGTCGCATGTGGAGTCATTCCCCAATTATCTCCCTCCAGCCGCCCACTATGACCAGATCTCAGCGTTACTCAATCAGGGAGCAGCCCGAAGGGCATTTGCTGCTGGGTTCTCCGCCACCAACCCCCCATCACCAACTGGCACTTCCTGGGCGAATGTTTCGACCTCCAGTTGGGGCCGCAACAATACACCATGAAACTGAGTCACGGAGAAAACTTCCGGCAGAGCAGCCCATAGGCTACTGGCACACACCGCGGTCCCTCGCCGTCCAAGCAGTACCATATGTCGATACAGTAGCACGTGCAACATCCGTTCACCCTCCTTTTGTGGAAAGACCCCTTCCTGACGAATTACGAAGCCATTTACTCCGCCCACAGCCGAATTCGACCCGGGAAACCAAAACCACATCCCCAGTGACACGTTGCCTTTGCACCAAGTAAGGACACCCACGTCTGATAGACGACGTCTTGTGCCCCGTAGAACCTTCGTCACCATTAGGTTCTGTACTCCTGCTGGCTAAAATACCAGAGGTAACAGCCTAGGTGCACGACCAACTAGGTCATGCTGGAGGAGGAAAACAGAACAAGCTATCCGGCAACGCTTCTGGTGGCCTATGATGCGTCGAGATATTTCTGAGTTTAGTCGTACTTGCGATACGTGCGCCAGAATCAAATCACCCCCTCAAGCATGCTGGCCTAGCTTGCCCCAATGTATGCAGAAGCACCCAACCTGCGTGTGGACATGGGCATCATGGGGTCCATTACGGCGTCGAGACGCGGAAATCGTTACATCCTCGTGGTGGACTACCTTACCGAATGGTGTGAGGTTGGGGCTCTGCAGTAGCAGGATCCGGCAACTGTTACCCGTGCACTCATCAACACCTTGGTTTCTCGCTTCGAAGAACTTTTATCACTGTATTCGGACCAAGGCTCCGTTTTCGAAAGCCAACTCCTCTCTCAGTTTTGCAATGCATTTGGCATCCAGATAACCCACACTGCTGCATAGCATTCACAGGCCAATGGCTTAGTAGAACCCATCAACAGCACCATCAAGAGCTTACTTCTCGGATTTCTTCGCCATACGCCCGCAGACGCTTGGGATGACGCCCTACCCTAGTGCCTCCTGGTTTATCGCTTATCAGACCATTCTTCTACAGGTGCAACAACAATCATCAAGCCAACACCAAAAAGGCCCTTACAATAGCCACGTTAACGGACCAGTATACTCTCCTGGTGGCCGGGTTGGGCTGCATCGTCCAGCCGCCCCGGCTGGTGCATGCCCCAAGCTCTACTCCCCCTGGCAGGGCCCGTACGAAACTATCCGTTGCCGTTCACCTAACACCCTCTTTATACCTCATGTACGTCTGCTGAAAGAAGCAGCCATCGCCATCCACTATAACTGACTGAAGCCGTTCCAACTCGTCATGCCCAAACTGTCAACGGACCCGTGATTTGTACCCCGTAAGTCCAAGCTGTGACCCAAATAAATACGATACCGTGTATTTCCTTTTTTCTTCGCCTGCCAGTGTTTGCTGTGAGTCTGCGTGCCTACAACTCTTGAGGGTCGCCACAGCTTTCGTTGTTAGTTGTTCGTAAATATGATGGCAAGCTTTTTGCTGTCGCCCACGATCTGAAAGTCTATGGGATGGGACGTAACACTAATGCCTGTAAACGCTTTTTTTCTGTCAGCCTGATATTGGCTGTCCTAGTGAGTTTTCATCAAGTCCTTAAGTCATACCTTATAAAGACTTACTCAAAGCAAGGGGGCCATGGTGAAAGATTGTATCAAAAAATAGGGTTTTGGATTTTTTTCCTGAGTTCTGCCCGTGTTTTTTAAGCTTACTTTCAGCCCTTCAGTTTCTTGATGTGCCTCTCTATTCGTTCACGTCCTGCGTTAACGGAATTTTTCGGCTTGCGCCGTTTTCTCAGTTTGCGTTGTGCTTTGTAGATCCACTTTTTCATGTATACTTAATTAGGACCGTATTTTCCGTTGGCACCTATCTTATGTTAGCTAGGTATACCAACGTCGTAATGAAAGCTTGTCATTAAGGTAATCGTACCCTACAAATCTGCTTGGGTGTGACTGATGAAATACAAAGAAACTGAACATTGTTGAGGCCTGTTTTGAGATTCCAGGAGATTTTAACTGTCTCACTCAGCAGCCACCTCCTCACCGCTATCTTCATTCACATCGAACATAACCTCTTATGATTGCACTTCTTTGGCTTGTGAACTCTGATAAAAGTGTAACTTTGAGATTTAATGAAGCTTACCCCTGTAGGAAGTCACAACGTTCATCCACCACATTGACACTTGTCCAAGTTCGCTAAGGCATCACCCTGCGTTTTCTATAAATTCTTAATTGGTCCCAAGAAATCCGGTTCCGTGACATTATCCATAGCTTCTTTCGAACAGTCAATTCCATATGGGTATGTTTGTTTCCTTTCTAGTTTTCTTACCAGCACAAGATAGTTAGTGAGTGAACAACTCTATGAATATGTGATGTAGGACTGGACTCAAGGTTGTTTTCATAGCGCTAAAGTTAAGTTTCTTTTCTGCGTAGTAGTTGGTCTCTGGAGTTGTACGACTTACAAAGCTGGTACGGAATTCTTCGTTTACTAGTTTTTTGTTGATTACTTTTAAGACGATGTAGCTGTTTTATAGATGCTCATCACACTTTATATATGTTTTGAGAAACAATCCCCTTATTTATTTACTAATTTTTCACGACGTATACACTTTAGCCGGTGTAATGTGTCATCCTCACTCAGTCAATATTTTCGTTCTGGGAGCAGTGCTGGTAGGTACGTCACCTTGCTTCCTTTCCCTTTCATTGTTTGTAGTTAGATTTACCGCTAGATGTGGTTCACAACGTCGGGTAAATTATGTTGAAATTGTGAGACCGGACGAAAATTTTTGTGACGCTATTTCGTCATCTGATCTTACGCTTCTTTGCTTTGGTTGTATAGCTTGCTGCGTGCTTTTCAGATCGCTTCTTTAGTAGTTAGATGGTCTGCGGAATAATCATGATTAGCACTGCAGTACTAGTCATTGTGATAAATATCTCTTTGATGGTATCCTTTCTCCAGTAAGTACAACGGAGTTCCGGTTGTTGATAACTATGAGGAAGTATGAATTCATGCTAGTTTCTAACCAGATAAGATTGTTTGAAATGTGTAGCGGTAACATATGGAGTGTTTCATGTAATGTTGGTCTCATTACGCTGTATAAATATAATTACTATTGCATAAAGTATTGAACCTGACGTTACAGGTATGCTACCGATTTCGTACTTTAGAACCTATCTACACTGTCACAAATATAGCTGCTTTCATGAACATTATTCTGTTTTAAAAAAGTTGTTAAAATCCATCTAATGTATATGTACATTATCATTTGTCCGTATTGTCAGTACAGCAAATCATGGAATACCTTATGATGTTCAACAACTCACTAGTGTACGAGAGAAAGGATCATGGGGATAAGAGTGTATATTGTCAGGTGCTACGTTGTATCGACTTTCAAAAATGGGTTTTGCAGCCACTTCCTTTTTCATATTAGAAAAGAATTTATCGATGCAAAATTTTATTGCTGATTATTTTCAAGTCTTTTGGTTTCATCAACGACCTGGTATGAAGCACCTTGCAAAGTACTTTGATAAACTGAGATAATGACGAGTTTCTTTCATTCTCGAACTTCACCCAGGTTTACATTTAGAGTATACAAAAGAGGCTGATAAGTAAGCTATAATATACACAGGCTAACGGAAATAGCTACCTAAATGACCCTCAATGGCGTCATGATTTCTTTTCCTATGACTATATTCGATGTCAGCCCTTAACTTGGCATCCTAATTTTTTAGAAATATCCAGTCAAATTTCGGCCCGAGTTTACCAAACTTGATATACTTCTTTAACTTCCTTGTTTAGTAATCAAAAATGCTTATCTACCTCCTTAATAAATGCATGGTGGCGTCACTTAGGTGAGCATAGACTTTACATCTCTTTGTTTCCTGTATCTACCAATGCTGAGGCAAATATGTTCCTCACTTAATGTATTATCATAGCCCGAGCAGTTGTTTTAAGAATCCCAATCATCCACCGATCGCCTCCATAGATAGTTTACAACCGTGTGAACTGTATTCTCCATCGGCTTGATTTCAGCGAGCATTGAGTAAGATGATGTCGTTCCTTATGTTTGGAAATGTGCGCTGGTCGGGAATAAGTAGTTATCAGGACAAAATTGTGAGAAATTTTCGCAGTTAATTAGCACAGAATTGCACAGACACCCCTTTAATTGCTTCCTAATCGGCTAAGCTTCTTTACTTTAGTATTGAAGTCGCCCGCTGATACGACTTAAAAATTTTTTGCTCATCAAAGTAAAATTGAAAACTTCTAGTAAAACTCATCGTGTATGCCATCCAAACAGCGGTCAGTGTGTTGCGATACACACTACAGAGCGACGTCGACAAATCTGAAGGCTTTTTTCAGTTCTTATAGATGCACTTAGCTGAAGAGTGCACAAATGGCTGTCATCTGGATTCTGCGAATCAGTGTAACGAGATCAAGCAGACAACTATGGTTATATTCTACATGCATGCCACACAAAAACAGCTCACAGTGAGAGCGAGAAAGATGGAGAAGGCATCAGCGTTGGGTAACACTCAGCATATATTTACGCGTATCAAGGATACTGGCAAGAAAAAAACGACGGTCAGTAAAACCGTCTCTGAAATCGATGGTACCCTGATAATATCCCAGGACAGGTGGCTAGAACTTTGGAGAGAAATACTTTTAACCACATTCCAATTGACCCCTAGCAACGCTTCAGTTGCCCAACATCCAGCCGAAACCTGAATTGTCCATAAATGTTGGTCTTCCAACTATTGTCGAAGTTGAGAAAACTATTTCGAACCCAGAACGATGGAAGGTTGAAGGTAGAAAATGGCTGATTAGAGTGACGGAGGTGCTACGTAGTGTACGCGAATCAGAAATATTCTCGTCAGACTGCTCCACTTCACTGAAAAAGAGAAATCTCCCTGTGACAACCATAGACGAATCAGTTTGACTAATAATGTGTCTAAGATCCTAGGGTCCATAGTCATCCGACGCCTGAATAACTGGGGCTTGAGAACAGCAAACTGGAGGACATCAGACAGGTTCCACACCTAGATGTGGGTCCATCGATCATATTTCCACCCTTCGACAGGTTCTAGAATACAGGCATACCTACCGCCGGTCGATAGTCTAATCATAGGGAGTGAAGTAGTGGAATGTGTCAATCAGTTCACCTACTTGGAGAGTTGGGCAGGTCGAACGAAATGGTTGCTGAAGAAGTTGCAGTGTTAGCTTAAGTAGATTCAGTTTAGGAGTAGGCTTGGGGTATCCTGACTAAAGCATGACAGCGCTACCTGAAATCTTTAACTGTTAGTTTGAGCAGTGCAGGAAGATGCTCAGTATCCAGTTGGGGTCCACATGACAACAGAAGCCAGTGGATAGAGACTCTAAGTGACGTGGCTCAGAATCGATCTCAGTGGTGCAGATGTATCCATACGTTATCTTCATCTCAAGGGCTCTCCTAAATTCAGCATCTCATTATTCCTTCCTCTCTTTTACTGCATTCTACTGTTCTTCTTTCGTGCTTCATCTTTCACCTTATTACTTAGTTGTGCTGGTGTGGGTACTTGCGACTTGGACCGTCGCACAGTAATACTTGGTTCTATCTTGATATTGATTGACACCGTAGAAGGTTATTCCTTCTTAGGCTACTTGAAATTAAAAAAAGATTTGTGTGACCGCAAAGCCCTTGGGACTTCTTTTTGAAATCCGTCACACAGCTTTTGCGGATTATGTTTTTGAGATTTGGTTTTAACGCCGGATGCCCATGCCGCCGTCACGGGAAGACCGTGGGGGTGGGGGAGAAGTCCGTTGTTTTTAGCGCCTACCTTTGTAACCCTCTTACCGTAGGGAAGGCAGCACCAGCATGGCATTGCTTATTACCTAGGGGAAACACCTTACTATTGTCACTCGCTGTCCAGTCAGCAGTACGACCCTCCTCAAACCTCCGCCATAGCATAGCAATTCACATTATAACCTTGATTTTCTTCGTCTTAATATTATCCAACAGACTTTTCTGGTGTGGCAGGACCTCGAGGGAACAGGCGTTCTAGCCAATATAGCTGGTTCGGTCACTGTGATATGCATGCCCGACCACCACATCAAGGTAGTAGCTATCGGCCACTACCTACCTTGTATCATATATGGGAAAGTTGGAACTAGATTTGGAAAGCGTTCAGTGTGCCGTGACTAAGACTGTTGATTGAGTCGTGTGGAGGAGGTATAAACTATCTAGGGTCCCTGAGATGGTAGGAATCAGTGGTTGAGAACTCTTGGTTAAGTGACCCAGATGTTTTCACCGGATGACGTTTCTAACGCTTGAATATTTGCGTCAGTCTTTATCTTCGAATCGCTTGTCATCTTACACAATTTTGTCTGCTTTAATTTTTGTCCACTTGTTCTACTGTGATTTTGTCTGTCTGATTGTGGGTCACATTTGCAACGCAGCTTTTCAGTCAGCGTTCTTCAACACCAATTTTTACCCTCCCTGCACGTTAATGCAGCAAAGGCGCCGGACATTCGCCTTCGTCTTTTCATTTTTGTGCAGTCGATCAGACAATATCAACATTTGAAGTGGCATTACTGGGTTACGGTACAAATCTCCACATCTCATATATCAGCACATCAAGTAAAAATGTACCAAGATGAAATCCAAAAGAAAGTAGCCAAAGTAGTAGAATGTCGTCAAAAGAGAAGGAGGAAGAATGAGACAAAAATAAAATTCGGTATGATAGTTATAATGAGGATGATGTAAGGATATATCTGCGCCATTTCAATCGATTGAGCCATACCACCTAGATTCGCCAGCCAATGGTTTCTGTCGTCACGTGGACTCTAAACCACAACTAACTCTACACTTCACCGCATGGCTGAAAACAACAATAAAAAACTTCGGTGACTGGTGTTATGTTTCAGTCTGGCCACCTCCAACTTATTTCCAGCCTGAACCTATTTCGGCTAATAGGGCAAACTGTAACAAGGCGTACGTATCACATGTCTCAGTCATTTGAGTCCATGAAAGTCCACGACCTTGCCGAATCACTTTCCTCTTCTTACCAAAATTACGCCTGACATCTAGATTACTGACTACGCCACGGCATGACCTATGCTATGAAGGCAACGGTAATGGAACACCTGAAGCCTTCTCATGTCCTCCACAAACATTATATTAATAACAAAGTGAACCGCAGCGCAGTACATTCGACACTTCATAGGCAATTGGATATGATGGCGGCCCCATAAATGGTATAAGTAGGCAACAAGAACCTGGAATCTTAGACACTTTATCTGACTGATTTCCCTGTGGTCACCACAAGAAGATTTCTCCATTTTCTTGAAGATTAGGACAATCAGTGATTAGCACCTGTCAGAGGTTATCATACCTGATGACAATTCTGTACTGTAAACAAAAATTATCCTTTGGAATAAAATGCATGTTATTATTATTAATACCTGTCTCTCATATGCTAGCTAGGACTTAACCTGTCACGACTGCCATCTTCAAGTACCTCTTGAACTAGCTCATCTGGTCTTAATGCTCTTCTTTGTTTCCAGCTGCTTAAAGCCTTCTCAGCCTATTTTGGTGGTCATATCTTCCATTCAAGATCCACGTGAATAGGGAGCAACAAGATAGTAGACGGCGATCAGTTGAGCTATTCCTCGAGGTGCTGCGCACATCGCTCCAGCCGCCTCTCCTGTCAGCGAATCGGAGCCATCCTTCTCCATTATGGTCTCACTGACCTCTGACTGTTTTGTCCCTTTCTTTCGTCAGGCTAAATAACTATCTACTGTTACCTATTACCGCTTCATTTACCATCTCTTTAGCCTTCTCTGCCCACCACTGTTCGGGGTCACTGCGTAGACTTTTTATCAGTTTACATTTGAGTGCTTCCACCCTTCATTGTGTTTGGAGCAAGCAGAGCTGCATTTACGTGCATCGGTTATTTCCTAAGCTGCTGAGATTCACTGGTCCTTTCTAGGAGCCAGTTACGGTCTTCTATGCTGTTCTTGAGGCAGACTGGAGGAGGCACCAAGTTTCCGAACAAGTGATGTTCAGTACCAATAAATGTCAGCCAGTTTCTCACTAAAAGGAGCCTTAGTATTTTCATCATCAAGCTACATCCGCTATGGTCTTGTCGCTATTGTGTATATATATCTATTTATGTGCACATAAACGTCCTCAAACCAACGCGTGATCGCTGTCCAGAAATGTGCTCCAGAAAGAGCGGCAATCTTTCATCAACCCTCTCCAGCGATAACTGATAACAATATGACCCACCTATGTCAACTATGCCTGAATTTACCGCTAGCAAGAAATTAGTTGTAGCAGGCGATCACCGTTATCTGATCATTCACGTTGGATTCCAAAAGTGCCACCTGGGTGGCTTTATGTCTGGCTTAACCTAACCACTTGTGCGTTGAAACTATGTGCTAAGAAATCTGCGCGTTTGGTTTTCAGTTCGATAAAGCTCACCCATCGCTGCATGGGGCTGCAGTTAGTTGGTTCGTTTATGAGAAACAATGGTGAACTTCAGTATTCTTTCTTTTCTCACTGCACCCTTCAGTTCAACAGCGCATAGGCGACTGTCAACTGGGATCCAGTCAAGCTACACAATTTCTATCTTGGCACATTCTACACCTGCGAGACCACGAGTACTGATGATCGAATCTCCAAAATCTCGAAGGTAAATTTTACACCGTAATAGCCGGTTGAGGTTTAGTGAATAACCGCACTTGTGTGGATGTCTCAGAAACAAAACACACGACCATGGCTTTAGATGCTAGAGGTTCTGGGTGGTGGAGGTTGCTGACCAATTTGATGGTGGGTGCGAACACTTAAAGATCCAATATGTAGTGTGGAGCGTGGTATTGGGAGATCACGGATACCGTGCGCAAAGTGGAATCATTAGTAAGAAGAAAGAGATGAAATGTGATGTAGGGATATTTATTTTGGGATGCTACAAAAGATTAGAATGCAAAGATGTTGAAGGTTGATGATGATTTGAGGGAATTGAATGACAGGGGACTTGGACACTTCCTTGCTGCTCACACTGTAGAAGGTTACTTCTTGAGATACCTGCAAAGGAAATTGGGTTAGTAATGGGGATGCGCAATCGCAGCGCCGACGGTATCTACTTGCGGTTGGTCACACATGGCCTTTCGGTAACTCTCTGGTCTAGCTTTGATTCGCTTGCGTCTAGCTAGAAAACCCATACTGCTGGGATCGTAAAAGCAGGGCATTAGAGTGTATTCTATGTTCGAGGTCAACCTTTTCTAGTCCTCTAAGGAAGGTAGCATTAGCATGGTACTACTAGTCATCTGTGGGAAACACTACTGGTGTCGCAACCTCGTCCAGGCAGCAGCACGACTTCGACGCCGTGCTGGGACCATAGTGTAGTAATTTAGACTATTACGGCAACTGCTCTTTGTTGTACTACTATTCTAGAAACCCTTTTGGTATTCTAGGAACTCAAAAAAGTACTCTAACAACCTAGCTCAGTTAGTCATTGTGATATGCTAGCCCGACCACCACGTCAATGTAGCATCTATCAGTCAAGAAGACTAAGCAGCATAGTGTTGGTAACACGAACATGTAGTCTGACTGAAAGAGGAGACAAAGGTATGGTAAGGTGGGTTACGGTCATATAAGTTTTGTGTACTTCTGGAAGCTTGTGGGTGGTTAATATTACCTAGTCACTCACTCCACAGAGGATGCTATCTTCATGAGTTTGCTTTAACAAAAAGTGGATTAGTTATTCCTGGTGAAAGTTTGCTTCACGCTGATCATACGAGGCGTGTTTGGAGTTTAGAATTCAGATTCGATTGTCTTACATCTGCACTGGGAGGAAAATCTATATTTATAGTAATACAAGGTGAATGAATTAGTACGCTGTTTTAAACGTCGTTTTCCTATCCTCTTATTACGTTTAGAGAGGTCAGAATTAGAATTAGATTCTGATAGTTATCAAGTGCATCCGATAAATGTATCGTTAGTTTTTAACCTGAATGTGCAGGTTAGGTTTCTAGACTCAAAAAATTCGTGGTCAACTAATCGCGACTTGGCATTCACAAATCAGAATTTGGTTAGTACGCTTTTCACAGATGACGACATGTTTTGAATAGGACAATGATCATCAATCAGTTTCGTGGCATCCTTCCTGTACTAATAAACCTGGACTCAAATTCATCATATTTCACTCGGCCTCTAACGTATGTGCAAAACTGCACCCTTTTTCGATGAATCTGTGTCGATTCTTGGTTTCATCGGGCTACATCACACTAACTGTTCTTAGGTCTTAAGACGCGTATTTACTAGTATGAGTAATAATGTAAATCGATCTGGTACACAATAGCTTACTGGCCTATGAACCATACTCACTGAGTGGGCTTATGATACTATCTAGTTAAGTAAGTGGAATGTAATATCAGTCCTAGACCAATCGCTTTAAGGTCAAGTGCTCAAGCTAGCGGGCGACATCTCTATCATAGATATGAGAGACTATTATTCAGTAGATGTCTTCATCTCGGAACATCGGCTTCGGATGTGTATGTTAAACTTTTATACCAATCGCTTTTTGCTGGTCCTGGGATTGGTTGAATTCGTAGACATAATAAGTTAGTAATTTGTTGTCATTATGTGGTTTTTGTTATGTACCCATTTTTGTAATATATCACAGCTCATTGAGTAGGGCTTAAGAAACTAAAAGACTTAGTTTCACCGGATATTATCGAAACCTTTTATCGTCTACTTTTTTGGCATTATCTGTTACTGGAAAGTAGCATATAAGTGATGTAAAGGTTTTGAATATCTGTTGTACGACTGCTTCTCTGATCTCTTACCAATCCATTTTTTCTCTTTTCCTTTATGTCTCCATAGCATTATTTTTAAAGTGTTACGTTTCTCAGAACGCATTCCGTATCAAGCTTGTTTTAAATAAATAGTAGTCGCTCTTTCAGCAGTATGTTTTCGGATTTCGATCATATTCTAGTGTTTTTACCAGATGATAGTCAAGACTCACTTCTCTAAGTACATTGATATTGGTAAAATTGGTTTTATTAAGTGTTCCCAACTGAATATGAAACCAAACTGGATTGAAAGATACCTGTCAACTGGAACAAATACCTAGGCAAACTCTGCATACAATATGCCATAAAGAAATTTAAGAATTACATGCTTCTTTTTGTTTCAGTATCTGTTAACTTTCAAGTGTATATTCCTAGTAGCATTGTAATTGTTGTAGGTGTACTTAAAAAATAATATAAACACTATATTTCTATGAAGTGCAAAATGTGTTTACCGTAGTAAGTTTTGGTTAACATGAACGCTATGATTATGCTTATTAAATCAATGGATATATCCGCTGTACTAGTTCTACAATAATTCTATATTTTACAGGTTTTGGTCAATGGTAACTGTAACGTTATGTCCAAATACAAATATGTTGACCTGAAAAATGCATCTGGTACAGTGAATGTCATTGTCATTGTTAAATATGCTGATAAACCGAAGAAAACAAAAGGTTCTGGATACTCACTGCTTTTGGCGATCACTGACCCTTCTTTAAGTGGTGATAAAATGTCATGCGTTATTTTTCATGACTCTAAGGAAAATTTACCCCAGGTATAATAATTTCTTAGCAATTTCGAATCTTTCCTTATGGTATTTATATGTCATTAATATGCAGTGCTTAATAGTCGGTTAGATTAAGGGCTTATATGTTTGAAGCCTACCTACCTTTCTAGGGATGTTGTTTTAAGGTTTGGTTGTTCTAACGTCAGATAGAGAGGACTCATACCACCGGCACCGTAAAGCCATGGGGCAGGAAGGAGTGTGTTATTTTTGGGACCGACCTTTCTAATCGCCCCCTACTCGTAGAGAAGACAATCTATTAGGGATACTGGCAAGAAGACGATGGTCAGTGAAACCATCACCGGAAAACATGGGACGCTGGTAACCTTCTAGGACAGGTAGCTAGAATGTTAGTCAGAACACTTTAAAATGCAGTTCAACTGGCTCTCAGCAACGATTCAGTTGCCCAGCATCCACTCTGAACCTGATTGGAACAGATGTCGGTCTTCCGACTCTCCTTGGGGTTGAGAAGGCTGTATTGAACCTGAAACCTGATAGTCTGCCCCTCTAGGTTTCCAAGGATGGAGGGATTAAATTACTGATTAGTAGTGACGGAGATGCTAGCTTAGTTAATGGGAATGAAGTAGTGCTGTCACACTGGGGTACCTCTCTGATCATCCTCGTCCATAAGAAGGGAGAGAAGTTTTCGTGTGACAACCATAGGCGAATTAGTTCGACTAATAATGTGACTAAGATCCTAGGGTCCATAGTCATACGATGCCTGAATAACTGGGGCTTGAGAACAGCAAACTGGAGGACATCAGACAGGTTCCACACTTGGATGAGGGTGCATCGATCATATTTTCACCCTAGACTACAGGCATACCTACTCCCAGCCCACTGTTGCCACATTCCTCGATTTCAAGGCAGTATTCGTCTCTGTCGACCGTGAGGTGTTATGGCTGTGTCTGACTGTGAAGTGAGTACCGACCAAGTATGTGCAACGCTAATCAAGGCTCACTTGAACTCACACAGCGGTGTTAGTGTTATATTTCTGAGTTAAGTCAGCTACCAGTTTGTTATAACTTTGTCTGTTTGCAGTTGTCTTAATCACATGATTCTGCTGATTCAGTTTCATTCTTCACTGTGAACGTGATCGGTCTCCAGCATACTTGCATAACCTTGTTCAGTCATTTCACCCATAATATGAGTCACACAGTTTGGCCCTTTGAAGCGTTTGTATGATTATTTTAGGCGATCTGATTCATCTTCATTGCAAATAAGTTGCTTGACCTCAACGCACTATAATTTATGAAGATATAACAACCAACTTCAAGCACAAACAATGAGATAATGGGCAGTAATGTATTTCACCCAACATGCAGTTATTTTAGAAGTATAAGTGATACAGAAATGGTTGAGGAGTCAGTCGAAAGCTCTTGTACCTAGGTTTCGTTATCATGTTTCCAATTAATACATGTGTAATGTGATTTTTTAAAATAAATAAAATAATGCTACCAATGACACTTATTTCTGATTCATGTTTTCCACTCTTCGACTGATATAGCAGTTTGATTTTATAGAGTTGTCATCTGAATTAGGGAAAACAAGAGGTTGAGCAAAGGTATTTTTTTCTGCGATTTCATTTTCTATAGCTGTGCAATCGCAATTCATACATTTTTTGCTAAACTATAGTTGATATTTACAAGAATTATTTCAATTATCTAAGTAACAAAGATCAAGTTGAATGAACATTTAAGATTCACAAGTGTGATCCAAGGTAAAAATTAGTCGCAAAAGATCACCACATAATTAACTGGATATAATTTGAAGTTGCATAATATGAACTAGCGGCAACTAGTGTTGTCTGCCAGGAATGGCCACTGTTCCTGTTCAACTTCAATACAGACGTACTAATGGGCACAACCTTAGGTACATCTGACTTCATGGAGGTTGGTCTACTCTGTGGAGGTCTTCTGGTTGACTTAGAGTGTGCAGACGATATTACACTGCCTGGTGAAGATGCTAAATAAGTGCAGGGTCTTAAAACGCATTGAGGAGAAATTTGAGTATGTGTGGCATACGTTTCGCACCTGTCAAATGTGGGATGAATGTGTCAACCACTTCACTTACTTGGGGCGTTGCATCAGCTCGAGCAAGCTAACTGTTGACGAAATCTCTGCCTGTTCAACATTTTTCAACTGCATCATCTGCGGTGCTGACTGACGAGATATCCGATTACCTGTTAGAAGACAAGACTGGCTTTTGCCAACTTACGCCACCTATGGTGCTGCCGTGATATCCGATTGCGCATTAAGGGTCGCGTGTGCTGCACAGCAGTCCGCTCTGTCCTACTGCATGACTGAAAGATGGCCATTGAAAGTGAAAGACATGAGAAGGCTTCAGGTGTTTGATCACCGTTGCCTTCGTAGTGCAGGCCGCCGTATTCCATGGTGTCACCACGTGAGTAACGCAGAAGTCAGGCTCAGGTGTAGAGGTTTAGGGAGAAGAAGTAAATCAGTAGACGAAGTTATGAACCTTCATCGACTGAGATGGTTGGGACACGTGTTTCGTATGCCTAGTCGCCGATTGCCTCGTCACACAATGTTGGTCGAAGTAGGTTCAGGCTGGAAAAAGGCTCGAGGTGGCCAGACTAAAACATGGCACCAATGTATGAAGTCTCTGACTGTTGGTTTGAGCCATGTAGGGCGATGTAGACTGGGTGGTTGGGGTCCGCGGGACAAGAGGAACCAGTGGTTGGCGACTCTGGGCGACATGGCTTAGAACGGATGTCAGTGGCGCAGAAGTATACATACATAATCCTTATCTTAACGATGCTTTACCGAATCTCACCATTTTCTCATTCTTCTTTCTCTCTTTTGGCACTTTATATTTGCTTTGACTGAATTTTCTTTTCTCCATCTTGCGCCTCACTGCCTTTTTACTTGGTGTACTGATATGGGGTGTGGCAACTCGGACCAGTATTGCCTGGTCCTATGTTGATATTGATGATAAAAGACGAGAATACTACACAACAGTCTGTCTTGTCCTGTTGAACATAGAGGATATGAAGCCGTTACGGGATTTTGATAACATGTGTCTTAGCGGCATTGCTTGCGTCTGGTGGGGTGCGATACTAAGGTCAAGCAAAAGCTAGCAGACAAGATAGGGAAGCCGATCGATGAGGTTGTGAGCCTTAAGTAACTGAGGTGTCTTGGATATGTGTTGTGTATGCTTGGCTATCACCTGCATCGATGTACAATACTAGGGAAAAGTTGGATAAGGTTGGACGAATGTTCAAGGTAACGTGACCAAGACTCTGCACCAGTCTATAAAGTTCTTTACTGTTGGTCTGAGCCGTGTTGTGATATGTAGACCTGTCTGGTTGGGCTCCTGGAGACAATAGGGATTAGTGGTTGATGACTGAAAGCTGAAAATCGGTCACAGTTGCGCAGATACACCACTCTGACGTTTTCTAAAGCTTGAATATCTGTGTTGACCTTAATTTTTAAATTCCGTTTTCTCTCACCCACCTTTGTCCTCGTTGATATCAGTCTTTTTCTATCCACTTGTTCTTTGTCTAGTGCTGTGAAGTGTGGCAACTTGAACCAATGGATTATTGTATGAGGTTCTACGTTCATTTTGTCTGTTTGTGTGACGGCTACTGGTACGTAAGCTTTATGGTATCTCCTGAAGTAGATGTTAAGACTATTAGTTTTGACTGGTTTCTTTTTCATATATGTCCATTCAGATGTTGGAGTCAGATTAAATTTTTGGATATTTGATATGACGAAAGATTGTCATGGAGTTATAAAGAAAAGAAGAGATAATCCAACGAGGAAGATTTTCTCTTTCAACGATATCATTTCCTGAAGCTGTACGATCCTATTCATGCATATCACAAACATATAGCAGTCTATTATTGAAAAAAATAGGGTATAGTCGCGTCATTAAGCTATTGTTAAAAAGTGAAATTAAAACTGAAAAGGAGTTGCTCAATGTTTTAGACAATAGATAACGTCGAAAAAGAAAGTTTTCTCTGAATTGTCTCTTCTTTTTCAGAATCTCACGCATTCGTTGCGTCTATCAGAAAGGTTCTAATTACCCTTGGTATACGCAAACATTTTCATAAAGGTGGAAAGGTGATGGAGTGTGTCATGCTTAATAATATAGTGTCACTGTAAAGCAGACAAAAAAGACTATTCACAACTCCACTAGGTTATATCGTTTTGGCACGGTAAGCCATTTAAAATAATAAGAAAAGTTAATTTTCTATGAGGAGAAGAACAATATGAATCGAGAACGTCAAAATCAGTGTAATTGGACTGCTGATATTAGAGGGCAGGGAAATTCTTCCAACTGACTGTAACCTGATAAGGTAACCAATCAAAACCCGGCCACTTCAGTCCGGCCCTACGTAATGATACTCGATTTTGAGTGGTGACATGTGGCGTGCAGTACTATCAGAATACCATTTTGCATTCACGCCAAGCGTGAAAGAAATTTTAAAGCTTTTGATTTGCCTCTTAGAAAGTGAAATTATCTAAAAGTCTCGAATCTTCTTTTTACGGATCTATTAGTGAGTATACACGCAAATGAAAGAGTGACAGAAATTCATCGGAAAGAACATCTCTGCTATCAAATAGAGGAACTATATGTACGATATCCTTCAAAATCCACTATTTCTAGTGGAACATTTCCCCCTTAAACCTTGACAGTTCCCAATGCCAATATTACAAATCTTGTTCATTTCTACTTAGGAGTATAATCATTAAAAAAACGTTTGTTACCATGCGCTTAATGATGCTTGTTTGAAAGAATTTCATCTCACTTGACTCTATAATTTCGCTATTTTTAATATTATCACAATTATTGTCATCATCTTATCATGTTTTATGATGGCTTTTAACCCAAATTTTACTTCGGAAGATCCATTTCCTTCTTCAGATACCCTTCATTTATCTCTCAATCTTCGAAGGTCCTTCCCCTACCGCTGGGACCTGTACCACATGTTTGCTGATTGAGAAATCTTAAGTGCGACTACCAGACTTTGTATGGAATATAAAAATGCGTATACAGCTCAATAATAAAGATGTTGAAAAGAAATATTTCTCTACTTAAAAAGACCCTAGCTAGTGTCTTCTTTCAGTGGAGTCTGTAGATAATGATTGGGATAGGATTTTCAAGAAATTGTAACTCTTCCAGTTGGTATTCATCATGTACTGACATCAGTTGGGGGAACGCTGGAAACCTGTGAGCACTGTAAGCTGTTTCGTCCTAGTATGAGACTCGCCAGCAGGGCGCACCCACGACCCCGCCAGAGGTCGAACCCGCGACTAATGTGAGTCCATGATGAATACCAACTGGAAAAATCTCTAAATCCCCACAAACCCCCAAATTCAATTGTAACTCTGCTGGTAACTACAATAGAAATTTGGTAAGATAAAATCTATACTCTCTATCTTCCAATTTACTTATCCTTGGTTGTGTGATTTTATTTCAGATTCGTGGCCCTGGTGATATTGTGGTTATGCACAGACTCGTCGTAAGACCGTTTAACGGTCGAAACCAGGGTTGTGGCTGTGGTACTACAGGTTTTAGTGCAGCTGTGTTTTCAGGCATAAACTCAGATCCATTAGTTCCCATAGAATCACATACTAGGTGCAGTGTAAGTTATTTCCTATACTTATCATCATTTCGACTATTTTGTTATTATTCTTTAACTGTGTTTGTGATAAGTTGTACGTTGAGGTAGTGGAAGTATGTCTATAATCAGCTTTCATTCAACGGACAACTGTTTAGAAATGTATTTGTTAGAAGAATGTGTTCTGGCTGGAACAAAGCGTAAAAGATTCTGAAGTCAACTTGCTGAATATGGGATTTCAGTTAGGCAAGGCTTGACACTTTCGGCTTCAAGATAGCTGAAAAGTTGTGCATTGTCGCGTAAAGTTGATATCTTAGGACACGTTGCTTTAACTTCGTGATTACAAGTAAAAATTGGGTTTTAACAACATAAAGTATACACAGTGAGTGCTTATTTAAGAAAGGGATATTAGGATCAGATGTGTGCATTTATAATTGTAATAGTGACAGCATGGATTTCGTACGCTTTTGGGTATGCAATTGTTTATATTATTATGTTAAACACACCTGGCAACATGATCAGGCAATTCAGTCAGTTGAGACTTCGGTTTGGTTAATCTACCTCTCCTAGTAAACCAGTCTTTCTTGATTCGAGAGCCTTCTTCTTTGAACTCCAACTATTTCAGTTTGAAAGACGATGCGGTTAGTTTGTTTAATTGCAGTTTACTGGATATTTGAAATGTTAACCAATGCTCTGGAGTAATGAAATAAGTAATCTAGATGGTCAGTGCAGCAGAAGACGAGGATATTTTAGCACTTTTTGTTAGATTTATGGAATAAATCACACCTAGTTGCTAAAGTCTTGTCCAGAAATACCACATGCAGCCCAATCATAGAACTACAAGTGGATACAAGCCCTCCGACGAAAGTCGAATTCCTGAACGCCATAAGGCGACTGAAATGCGGGAAAGCAGCAGAACCAGGTAGAACCCCACCAGAAGCACTGAGAGCGGACGCAGGGACAACAGCGGACATGCTCACACCACTCCACTATTGCAGAAGGTTTGCAAGGAAGGAAGAAAAGGTACTTGGCAATTGATTGGAAGAAGGGCTACCTTGTCAAACTCCCGAAGAAGGGAAACCTAAGTCTTTGCAAGAACTGGCGCGGAATCATACTCCTGTCCACACCAAGCAAAACATTAGGCCGCATCATTCTGGAGAGACTAAACAATGCGCTGAATTCAAAACTATGACCGGAACAGGCTGGCTGGATTCAGGAAGTACAAGTCATATCCGGACCAAATTGCAACGATACACTACGCATCATCATAGAACAGAGTATAGAATAGCAATCAACCCTCTACCTCAACTCCATCGACTTTGAGAAGGCCTTCGACAGCGTCGACCGACAAGTAATTTGACAACTGCTTCAACACTACGGAATACCACAAACCTTTATCAACCTCATTCAACAACTATATGAAGACTCCACATGGCAAGTAATTCACAATGGGAAGCTAGCTCAGTGATGCCTTTGAAGTGAAGACAGGAGTGAAACAAGGCTGTCTACTATCACCGATGATCTTCCTGATTGTGGTCGACTGGATCATGCAACAAACAGTGAGGAGCGAGAAGAGGGGGATACGCTGGACCAGGGAAAAGATCCTAGAAGATTTCGATTTCTCCGATGACTTATGTCTAGTGTCACACAAGATGAAAACTAACAAGTTGTCAGAAAAGGCAGGGCATCGAAGACAGGACTTTAAGTGAACATAGAGAAGACAGAGGTGATGAAGATACCCAACCAACAACAACAAACACCAATCACCATCAACGGGAGAAACTTAAAGGAAGTAGCCTCCTTCACCTATCTAGGCACCAGTGTTTCAACTACAGGCGGCGGCACAGACGAGGACGTCAAAGTCAGGATTGGAAAAGCAAGACAGGCTTTCATTAACCTGAAACCAGTGTGGAGATCTTCTGCACTTAGCATTAAGAACAAGATCCGGATTTTGAACACCAACGTCAAATCAGTGCTCCTATATGGTTCAGACACCTGGCGCATTATGAAAGGCGTTTCCGACAAACTGCAGACATTCATCAACAACTGCCTACGCTGGCTCGTTACTGAAGATCAGATGGCCAGAATAATGAGAATAAGCAACAAGGAACTCTGTCAACGAACCAACGAAGCAAGAACCTATCGCTCAACAAATATGCATTGGAAGGAAGTGGAGATGGATTGGGCATACACTGAGAAGGCCGACTGGGGACAAGACGCGTCAGGCCAGGCCCTCAAGTGGGACCCAGATGGGAAGCGACGAGTTGGGCATCACAGCTGAGGGTGACATGGAGGAGATGGTGTGAGGAAGAAATGAGAGGTTGTGGGCAGTCGTGGAGCCAGGTTCAAAAGATTGCAGAGAATAGAGTGCACTGGAGACGTGCTACTGAAGCCCTATGTTCCATTAGGAACCCAAGGGACAAATAATAATGATAAGTTGCCAAAGTAACCTCGAAATTATTCATATTCTTGCCAGGATTGGTATATTTGTTTATCCTCCTCCCAATATTTGGAGTCGGAAACATAAAGGCATTTTAGTATTAGATTTTCAAATATCTGCCGAACCTCTGTATACTCATCTGCACAAATATCCAGTATAATGTAATGTCGACACTAAATATCTGACTCATTGAATTATGTCAAGTTAAATGTTTCGGTGGACAGCATTCACGATTTTGCGAAGAAAAGTATATTATTAGTAGTGTTGATATCATTTTATGAAAAATTAATCTTTTTTTTGTTTCCGTGATATTTCTTTCTGGTTACATCAGGTAGGTGACGAAGAGTTGGAAGCTGTGAAACGTTTAAGGGAATGGTACACTTCCCCCAACTGTCCAATGGAAAGGGAGGAGGATATGATTACAGGAAGCACATCAGGAAATTCTTGTCAGCTGAGCAATATTTCTGGATCAGGAGTAAAACGACTTGGAGTGTTAAAAGGAGATAAATTTTACACGATTGAAGGCCAGGTATCTTTTGTTGTCTCTAGCTAATTTGTCTTATATTACCGCTCGTGCTTAGTATAGCCAACTATTCTGTGTACAAATTTCTTGCTAAACGATAATTTGAAATTAATTATCCTGTAAATTGTCTACAAAATCTCATTTAGCTATTATCGGTCGAATTCTTGACAAACTGTGTTCATGAATAATCTGTCTTTACAATTTGCAATGTTCATTACCGCCAAATGTTCCATACTCACAATTAAAAAGTTATCCTCATTGTTTCAGAGTGTGACATCAGTATACATCTTCATGTTGACAAGCATCTCATCCATATTGCTGAATAAATGGAGTTGGAAAGAACTGGTGAGAGTAGCTAATAGAAAAGACAAGATGACGTTGCATATCTACAGTCTCACTCATACTGATTGGTGGGAGGATCTTCATTCTGAAAAATAAACAAATATTAGCTAAGGATGTGACGGTTAGCTGGTCTTCCACACGATCACACTGTCAATTATGCATTCATAAGACCTACCTAGGGCAATCTGTAAAACTACTCACCAAAAAGCTGTCTAAAACTAAACTACAGCTTAGGCGCATAACATTGGTGATCACATAAAAAAGTCGGTTTCTATTAGTTTTCAAACAAAGACAAGTAACACCAAGCACCAGTTTCCCTCTGAATACTCCACTTTCACAATTCGTATTAACTTTTCATAAAGACGCAATGATGAGCATAAGCGTATGTGGCTCCAATTTATCAGGGATTGATACACTATCTGATAGACACTTGTTTGGGCCACAGTATGCAGTTGTATTGGGTGAAGATACTGACAAGATGCAGAGTCTTCCAAGGAGGTTGAGTGAGGATGATATGGATGCATTTGTGACAACTGTAATAGAGATCATTACTTGCAGACTGATGTGCATTGAAACATGGTTTAACAGTAGTAAGTGAAGTGGTTGGGTGTGTTGACTAGTTATTTACGTGGGAATTCGAATCAACCGTGAGGTGTGAGTGAGTAACTGACAAAATCTCTGCAGGAATAAAAAATGTTCGGTTGGCTTATGCCAACCAGCTGGCATCATGTATGGTTCCGGTGGTGTATCGGACTACCTAGTAGGAGTCGCATGTCCTGCTCTGTGATATGTCTTGTCGTAATATGTAGATGTGAGACATGGTGAAGAAGGCTGGAGGGCATGTGCACGCTGCAGATGCTAAAGTACAGTTGCCTTTACAGCAGTGCTGAGGTATTGTGGAAGCCCCACTTCAGTATTGCAGTGGTAGGCGTGGAGTCTTGGGGGAAATGTAAGCCAGTTCGTTGTTGAGATTAAAAAGCTTCATTGAATCTGGTGTCTGTGGCGTGTGTTATATGTGTGTGGTCGTTATGTAGTACTTTGTGATACACCTTGTGCAGAAATGGGTTAGGGTTGAAGGTGGTCAGACTGGAGGGGGATCATTGCGTATGAAATCTCTGAATGTTGGTTTTTTTGGTGTAGGAAAGTGTGGACTTGTTTGTGTTTGGTCCATAGGACAAATGAAATGGGGTGTTGGAGACTGTAGTCGATTTGTATGTAACTCCATTCCAGTGGCGAGTTTGCGTGAACAGATAGTGTACATGCTAATCTAATCGTGCCTCACATTTCATTGTTTTACGTCCCCCTTTGTTCTTATCCTTAATTTGTACGACTTTTGATTGTATTTTTGCGCCTGCTTTTGTATTTTTCATTTCGCTACCTTATATCTTGATGTGCTGAAGTGGGGTGTGACAACCAATTATGATGGCTATGCAGTATTTGCAAGTTCCGCTTTGATATTGACTGACTTGACTGAGTGGATTAAAGAGGGAAGCAGTAGTGTCGAAGAAGGCTGTCCACTGTCATCATCTCTGATGTCCTTTTGTATTATTTTGCTTTGTTCACCTTGTTTATTCAATCGGCATTTTATTGGTCTGTTTTTGTTCTATCCCTTTTTAAAATATATTTACAGCCTAGTGTTTTGGTCTTTCATCTCAATTTAAGATCCTTGTGAGTTTTACCCCTGCAAGATGTAGCGCTTCTGCAATATCTGTTTCTTTTTTTCTAAGTCGTTTTTGATGTATTGTGTCTGTCTTATGTTATATAGAGTGTTAGAATCTTTGGTCGAAGACTTGCGGATGTAGGCGAAAGATTAACTCAGTTGTTACCTATTCATATACTCTCTGATCTGTGGTATTATGAATACTTTCACTCACCCTTTTCAATATACTTTTTTCGTGTCTGATTCTCTTTTATCTACAGCAACACTATTTTTTCCTCTCCTCTTCCTCTTTGAATGGTGCTTTGAAGAATAGCAAGTTAAATTGAAGCTATTTTGCATCATACTCTACGTTGATTTTTGTGTCTGTTTGTAAGTACAGTTTTGTCTCAGTATAGTCTGGGGTATTTAATTTTCATTACTACGCTTGGCTTCATGGGATGTTGCTTTATTATTCGCCATTAGTGTGAATTATTGACCAGCATACCATACCGATTCCGCACTTTCTAAGTATTTTCTTTAAACAGGTTATACATTTATTACAGTGAGTAATTTCTCAATTGAATCTTTATCAATCTTTTAGATAGTCAGTATATATAAATCTGCAGAAGATAATCAATCTCTTACCCTTTATATCTGGGATGGACCGTTGTCCTCTGATAAGCAGGACACTGTTTTTACTGGACCCTCTAAGAAGAATTTATTTCAGATGCTTTCTCATTCTCAGCATGATCCACATTTGACTGCCTTAACAGGGCATAATTTGAAGCACTGGAATGGAAATGAAATAGAATGCCGAAAAAAATATACTCAAGATTGTTTACTGACAGCTTTGGCTGCTCCTCTTTTTTCTGATATCCAAGTGAATCTTCAGGATAATAAAGATTTCGTTGATTGGTCTGTCCCAGTTTCCATTTATGATGAACACATTACTAGCGAAACAGTAATGAACCTTAAACCTGGTGATCTTATACGCATTCACAATGTACACGCTAAATGTGTTCGAGTGAGTAGTTCTTTACTGAATTATTGTTTCTGTTGTACTTAACGTATTTGCTAAATTGTTTTTCCCTTGTTTCAAAATCGAAATGAAGTATCAATTTGTGTAGAGTAATATATCTTATTTTATTCAATTAGATTAGCGAATTTTATCCATTGCAGTTCAGAAGTATTTTCAACAACTATATCTACTCATATATTGTTCTTGATAGTTTAAGAAATATCAATTCTAACTTCACTACTACACCAATGGACAATTGATAATACAGAAAAATGAGTAAATTTTCTCTTGGTTGTATTGTGTGTTCTCTGAGCTGAGTTGTTTAGTCCTGCAGCTTTCATCGTCTTTCTAGATGACATCATCAACACCAACTTCTGCTCAGAGGACACAATACAACCATGACCATCCATTTGAGCTACAAATATTCTCCACCGTTTCAAAATCATACGAGTAAATTTTCTATCTTTTATTGCTTGTGATTTTGCGTTAATTGTTATTGTTATTATTATTCCGGATCAAATAAATCAGTCTCTGTTGTCATATGAGCTCCTTGGACGGATTACTTGATATTGCCTGAAGATTGAATTTGACGTCATTTGATTGGTGGTGGATAGCGATGAAACCCAGGAGGCATATTTTGTCCCTTTTTAGGCTTCTCAGCTAGATTCACCTGCATCTTAAAATGAGTAAAAGGATGAAGCTTGAGGTATTGTTGGAGGATCCCGTTTACCAACAGAGACCGTTCCTTTCGGCGATCGGTTACACCTGTCAGGGATTTGCACTTTAAAAGCCAACTAGTTAGTATTTGGCAAATTGTATTACTTTATTTCTTTAAGTAGTGTCAGTTTGATTAGCCTATTATAAAACCAAACTTTGTTTCCATGTTGATCCGTTTTATCGAAACTCTGCAATACACATTTGTGTTGTAAAAGAAATATTAGTATGTTTCATGTTTTTAACTCTGGTGATACGACCTGATGGATTCTTTCCGAACACTTTCTGTAAGCTTTTTATGAACATCAATTTTTAATGTAATATATTATTATCTTTCAGAGTGAACACAATCAATCGTCTTCTGTGCGTTTAAGGTTACATGGTGGAGGTGAAAAATATGGTAGTGGAGTAAGATATTTGGGTGACAGTTACTTGTTGATGAGTTTCCTTAGTTGCGATTCATCAAACATTACAGAAGATGCTCAAAGAAGAGTAGACGAAGCAAACAGATATGGTCTGTTGGAAAATTTAAAAAACGGAATCAAATTAAGACCACCTTTACTTAAACCTGATTCCGAATTTCTTATACCTTATCAACTGCAACAACCTGTGAGTGAATTACGTGTTAACTGTTTTCAAACCAGTAGATGAACACCAGTTAGTATATATATATATATATATATATATATATATATATATATATATATATATATATATATATATATATATATATATATATATATATATATATATATATATATATATATATATAGGTTTAATTTTCATGAGCCCGTCACCTCTAACTTTACTTTTCATAATACAAACTTTTTGATGTTTCGTGCTGAAAGTCAAATCCTCAGTTGTGGTTGTCAACTCACAATTAGGTCGGCTAAGTCAGATAAAGAGACGCACTTAGGTGGCAATTTTGTGATCCCAGTGAGAAGAATGGACAACGGTGATAGCCTGTTACAACTGTTCTCGGAAAATCACTTATTTCTAACTAGCACAAATTTCTGACAGAAGGGATGTTGTCCGGGGTTGGTGTCTACTGATCTTAGCTTAAACGTGGACGCAGACCATATTGCCGTGAGTTGTCGCTGGAGAGGGTTGGTGGAAGATCCCCACTCCTTCTGGAGCAAGCGACCAGACAATGATCACTCATTAGTTCGGACGCTCGTATATTAGCTACTTAATGCACATAGAAAAAATACAGCAACAAGTCCATTGCAAGAATACATTCAATGACGGACTAACAAGACAGTTACCTTAACAGAACGATGCCACTAAGTCAGAATTAAGACTGATGCAATCACTAGTTTGCTGTAAGAAAAGCGTCAAAGACCATAACTGACTACCCGAAGAAACAGAAAGCTCTACTCTATCCCAATAACTTCAGAAATAATAGATTCACTGTGTCGACATCTATGATAGAAACCTATAACTTCCTCATATCTTCTACTTTCAACAGTCATATCTCACAGCCGTATAACAGGATAGAATAGACTGCAGCTCAGTATACTCGTCCTTTGATAGTTATTCAGATATCTCGCCAGAAACCAGCTCGTTTGGTGGGCTGATGCAACTCCTCATGTAAGTGAAGTAGTGGGCGCATTCTACCACTCGACTCCCTACCCTTAAACTAGGAGTAGTTGCAGACCAGTCCTGAATTATCCATCATCTGACATTTCACAGGTGTGAAGCGTATGCCGAACACACTCAGATTCTGCTCAAGGCGTTCAGAAGACTCTAAATCTTGAGAGCGTCTTAACCTATAACCAGATGACCTCCAGGGACTAGAGAAATTGCTGTGAAGTCGTATGCACCTTAGGTTATGTCCATTAATACATGTGTGACTGAGCTAAACAGGAACAGTGACAGTGAGAGCTGGGCTCCTTGGTGTACACCATTGGTTCTCACCAATTCAGAAGACAACTGTCAATCTGGATCTACATGGCTGCTTAAGGTGGAGTATAGAGCTTTGATTACTGTTATATTCTTTTTCTGTACTCCCTTGACATTCAGACACTACCACGATACGTCACAGTCGACAGGGTTGAGTGCAACCCACAGATTAAGAAATATGGCAAGTGTCGGCCGATGGTACGTATGCCTATGTTCTGGGACCTGTCGGAGGGTGAAAATATGATCGGTACACCCTCATCTAGGTATGAAACCTGCATGGTTTCTCGAGCTGCAGTTAGGCGTCGGATAACCATGGACCCTAGGATCTTGGACATAGTATTAGTCAAACTAATTTCCCTATGGTTCTCGTAGGACGACTTCTCTCCCTTCTTATAGACGAGGATGATCAGTGAGGTAGACCAGTGTGATGGCACTTCCTTTGATTCCCAGACGTTAAGGTAGTAACTCCGTCATTTCTGATCAGCAGACTCCTACCTACATTCCTAAAAAATTCAGGTGATAATTTGCAGGTCCTGCTGCTTCTCATCGTTTCAGGATTGAAACAACTTTTTCAACTTAAAAGAGAGCTGGGTGACCGATAAATGCGTCTTATTTGAGTTCGGGCTGAATTTTGGGCAACTGAGGCCAGTTAATAGTGCTTCAATGTGTTCTTCCCGCCTGTTGGAGGAGGGGATTCTGGCTTCCCATATCCTCTGGTGATGGTTTCACTTACCATCGTCTTCTGCAGGTATCCATTATAAACCTTGCTAGTTGTCGAGTTTTACTCAACGCTGATGCCTTTTCCATCTCTCTCTGTTTCGTCACCCATCACTGCTTGCGATCGACGCGAAGACTTTCAGTCAACTTACGTTTGAGTTGCTTCCGCTCTTCATCATGGTCACAGCCAACTGGAGTCAATCTTCTGGCATCAATGAGTTCGGATGAAAATGGGAAAATCTAGTGGCGTTTTCTAACCTCCGGGTGTAGTTTACCAACTGTCTTTACTGCTTTTTCTACACATATTTTATTTATTAGTACACAAACATGGTACAGCAAGGGCACCAAAACTGCACCACACAAAATAATACAAAAATATTATGAAGACATAAAGCTTAAGGAAGTGGATAAAAGAAAAATACAATAAGAATAGACTGATTAAAAGGGTAGTCCAGTAACTTACATTCAAAACAAAACATTCATTACTTTTCAGCACCAGAAGATAAAAGTAACCTACAGCATAGCTGCCACTCGTTTCGATTCTGAGCGATATCTGATGTCTCAAGCCTATGAGTTGCATGGTCTCTTCGACCCTACTCCCAGGGTCGTGATGCGCCGACAAATGCTTATTGCGTGGTGGTCTCCATCATATCGAAACACATTATCGTACCTCAGAATTACCTACATGATGCTACCAGGAATCCTACGAAGACAAAGACGACCAAACACACAGAGTCGTCGCACATCATCGGCTCGCAAGGCTAGATTTCACACCCATAGTCCACAACTCCCACCGAAGCATTGTAAACCTTCGCACAGGATCAGTTCATCGATGACCTGAACGAAACCCATCCTGCTCCTCGCGAATCGTTCTATCGTGCGTTTTGCGAAGAATGATAGCAGCCAATATCTTAAGCTCATCTGATAACACACCCGATATCACGCCAGTTTTACTCAGCATGAGCATTGCTTTCATCTTCAGATAAATCTTTACTTATCTCCTCCCTGAATGCGTAATTGACATCTTCATCTTACTGTCGACTACAGATAAACTTCACTATCGCCTGTTTTCTGCTGCCAGTAAGAAGCAGACATACACGATCCCACACTAGCGCGTGATCGGAGTCGCAACTTCTACCACAGAAAGAGCTTCAATCCTCCAACAACAGCTTATAACAATGTGATACATTTGTGTCCATCGTTGGTTTGAAGTCAGTGGAGGCCATGTGAGACAGTGCCTTTCCGTATGCCTAAAGTTAGCGCTGGCCAGAAACAAGTGATTATTAGGACGAAATTGCAACAGGCGGATATTACGAAAAGGCATCACCCAGTTACACAATCCTTCCTAATCCTGACAGATCCATTCAGTCAAACAGGACACAGATGGCTGTTGACTAGAATCCAGTGGAGAAGCGCACTTTCTCCCCTACAGTTCAATGCTATGCCTACATTAGGGTATTCATGAGAGCTAGCCAATGGGTCTCCGGATACTCGTAAGGTGAATTTTAAAGATCCACTACTACAACCCGTTAAGGTCAATTTACTAACCACATTCCGGTTTTTTTACATGTATCATACATCTGTGGCTAGAGATTTCAGAGTTCTGGAAAGCAGTGCGACGCCTGCTATCCGATTTGACATAGAGTTTGGACGTTGAAAGCTCCTACATGAAACTGATGGTGAGGTCTTAGGTGACTAAGAATGAGGTTCGGGTGGCTTTGATCGTTACAGAGTGATAGGTCGGATGAGGTGTAAGAGGCTTAATATTAGTATGAGGAAGCGAAGACAAAGGAGGAGACAGAGCAGATCAGGATAGGTTATGTTTAATTGAGTCTTGTGTACTACTGGAAGTGTGCAGGCTGTTGACACTTCTCGGTCACTCGCACTGTGGAAGGCTACTTCTTCGTGATGTATCTGTAAGCGAAAATTATTTGTGAGATCGCAGAGCCCATGAAACATTTGTTGAAGGCCTGTCACACACGGCCTTTGGCGGGATGTTGTTTTGAGGTCTGGTTGTGTTCTAACGCTGACAAGAGAGAACGCATACTACCGGCACCTGAAGATCACGGGGCAGAGTGCTGTGTGTTATTTTTGCGGCCAACATTTTCTAACTCCCTCTTCCCAAAGAGAAGGTTGGACCAACGTGGCACTGCTGGTCATCTATGGGAAACGCCTCACTGCTCTCAAACATCATCCAGCTAGCAGCAGTACGACTTCATTTTCAGACCCGTAACATATTGTAGTAATTTACACTACAACTGTAACTGCGTTTCACCTTACTACTATCGAACAGACCTTTCTGGTATGGTAGGATGTCGAGGAAAAAGGTGCTCCAGTCAGTGTAGCTTGTTGGGTCATTGTGATATGCAAGTCTGACCGTCATGTCACGATATCAGATGTTTTTGGATTGAAAGCATCCATCTGTTGGATTGAAACTCACTTATAAACTTGGTGATAGTAAATAATTAGGCTTTTAAATATTTTCACCATTCATGCGTAACGTTTCTCGTTACTAATATAGTTTGCATGATTTTAATTGCAATGAAATTGAGGGTTATTGTCAAGGAGTTGGTTTTTGTTTTAATATTGCATGCGGAGAATTTCAGGTTCATATCAAAAGTTATTATTATTATTATTATTTTAAAGATACAACTGAGCATTACTTTATAATATATATTTTAAATGCGAACGGAGAATTACATAGATCTTCCTTCCCAGTCATTTCTGTTTCATTTTTTCTCATGGCAATTTTGTTTTAGCTCTCAGTCGCTCAAATACATAACCTCCCACTGATAATCAGCAAGAAAGAAAGGGAACTGAACAACTGGGACCTATTATATCCCATAAACACACAGATAATTCCTGTCGTTCCACCTTCCTCCTGGTTACCTGTTTATAATCCTCCGCACAGTAACCCAAATCTAAATGTTGTTTACACACGATTATGTGCTCGAATCATCGATGTTGCTCCACTTAATGTCAGTGTTTTAAAAGATTGCCTTTTGTTGACATGTATCAAATGTTCCATTTCAATTAGAAGTTCAGGGATTTCGAACAGTGACGAGTAAGTGTTATATTCATATGAACCGTTTCAGTTAATCATCTGTCGTTAGCCCGAGGTCAATTGATTTTCGCGTATGGTGAGCGTGAGGGAGTATTGTTTTCAGTACAGTCGTGGTACTAAAAATTAGAAGTTTTCTATACCTAATGTTCCCAATGTTCATTGCTTTTGACGGAAATAACCACGTCGCAATAAGAGTTTGTCTTACTTGTATGTTAAACAGATAACAGATGAGAACGTCACAGTTATTGGTTAGACGTCGTCCTTTTGGCAAATTGACTAAGACACGAGGTATATAGTGAAATGCTTATAAATTTGGAGACTAAGTTGTTTCCAATTCTATCGTATTTCATAATCATGGTAGGTGAAGTGACCACTAGACACACTGCTACCGTACATTGAAATTTGTTTGGAGTCTGCAGGGATGTCCTCAACCAAGGTTTGTTGGCTATTGATGTTAGCAGTAGGACTAATTAGTACTCACAGAGAAAGTTATACTGTCTTTCACCCTGAACCTACATTGTTTACTGCTTCTATCAGAAAAGTTGCCACTGAAGTAATGCAGTTTCTATGTACCAGATGATCTAAGCTTTTTCTCATTAATCAACGCCAAGCAGTATGTGATACAAATAAATATTTTCATAGGTGCGTAAGTTCCAGACGAAAACAGAAGTTCCCTTACTGTCAGTGCTATCACTTAATCCTTTTTAACTTTCGTTAGGTAGTAAGGCTTTGAATAACGATTAGTTTTAATATTTTACCATTATTCTTCTAACTTAACAGTAGATTTCAGTGTATTCTCTCACAGATAGGTGTGCATTGATTAGCGTATACATAGAGCAAACCACGCCTTTCGGTGATTAGCGAAAGAGTGATCCCGTTTCGTTGTAGACAACAAAAGAGGATCCATTCGGGTTGTTTATCGTATTGCATCTTTTTATTCATATTTCTAGTCTTTATGAGTTGTAAATTTCTTTAATAGTCTGTTTGTTAGGAAATAGACGCCATGACTAAAGTCATCTGAGAATAAATTGAGTGTTATTGTTGTCAACTGAAATTTAATTTTTTTCTTTCTTTCCTGAATCTGGTTCGGTGGCATAGTTTTGACAAAACGTTTTCTATGTGAGTCGGTTGTCGGATGTTTCTAAGTGCTGACTGAAATTGACCAACCAGTAGTATAATGTGACTCCTTGTCAGGGAATATGACATTTCAGTACAGTTCAAACGTTAAGTGTCCATTTTCCAAATAAGTGGAAGTGTCTGGTGATGATTACCAGTTGATTTTACGATTGATGATGAATTTCACTATTTTTCAGAATTAGTGAATTTTTTAACTGGTGACATTTTTAATTGTACTAAAAACGTTTTATTATATTTAAAGCCTTTAAGTCCCAGTCGCTTTATCTTAATTTCGGCAGTAGCTTTTGATATTTATCTTCGTGTTGCTATGACATGGAAACCGGTCAATTACAGCAATGAATGATAGTCATATATATTATCTCTCTTTAACTCTACTCCTTTTATTCTTTAAAAGTAATAAAAGATTATCTTTTTTTCCAGAGGTCTCTGTGAATGTGGCTCTCGGTAAGTTTCTCAGAGTTTTGTTCCTATCATTAAGTCTTACTATTCTCCCCTTCTTTTTTCTGCATTTAGAAGATCCAACTGGTACTATTATTTTAACTGTCTCCGGTTGTAATGTCAGTGATCTGCTTAATAATTTAATGGATTGTGACCTTACACCATGCATTAAAACTGATGCATGGTGGGCAGGCTTAGTGTTTGAAATGACGGAACTGGATAATATTGGTATTTCACCATCCAAAATGATCCTGGAACAACTGCATCGATTATTGGGACAGTGGATTGATGTGACAGTTAAAATAAGTTGGTCGAAAGAATCCCTGTCACGGCCAGCAAGCATTTCGAATCATTATGATCTCCAGTTCAATCTTATTGGTTGGAGTGCTGTATAAATAGACATAAAGGCATTTTTATGACTTTATTTTGCATTCTGACTTTTGCAGAATGAAATTTTCGAGAAAATATTTTTTGTAACATATATATCACTATTTAACTACTTCTAAGTTATGCGTTGCATTGAGTAATAATAGTGAACTGTTCTCTGATCACGTAAAGACTGGCCAAGTTAGATGTTGACTCTGTATGCTGAGATGATGAGTATTCAAACTCTAACAGAGTAAATAATAGGATAAAGTTGTGTATGTATTATGAAGAGATAAACCGTTATTTCTTTGCAGAATATACGATCCAGTTAGCAGTATTATGAACAATTCAACACCAGATACTCGATCCTCAATAAAGTAACAGTCATACTGAGCATAAGACTGCGTTTCTTTCCTCGTAGGAAAATCAAAAGTACGTTAGACATTATGAGAGTTTTTTTTGTATATTGTTAGCATAAACATAACAAATAATAAATACCAAGCGGTTATCATGGAAAATAAGTTATTGAATGGAGATTGGAATGTGCATTTGTAAGTATCACTAATTTATGTCAGTATACCAACTTTCTAATTCGAAGATTCACAACTTCATCGACTGACCTGCATGTCTTGTCTATTATCTTTAGCCTAACCTCGACATTGGTCACACGGTGATTTCAACAATGGCGAGCAATGCTACGAAAGACACCTGATGTCAAAAAATGCATTCTCTTCATATCTACTTTTTACGGCTGTCTCATCCGTATAACAGGAAAAAATGAACTACAGCGCCGTATACTCTTTCTCTAATGGATATCTCGTCAGACAGTGCCAGAGGTAAAGGAAGTTGACAAATACAAGACGGGCCTTCTGTATCCCAGCTAAGGTTTCGTTAGCAACCATTTAGTTCAGTGTGATGATGCAACTCCCCAAGTAAGTGAAGCAGTGGACGCATTCTACCACTCCGTTAAACTGGGAGTAGACGCAGAGCAGTCCTGAAGCATCTATCATCTTACATTTTACAGGTTCGAAACGCATGCTAAATACATTTTAATTTCTACTCAAGAAGTTCAGAAGACTGGATATTGTCAGCGTTTTCACCTATCATTACAATATTGTCTACGTACCTCAAGTCAACAGCAGCGGTGTTTGTGATATTAAGACCTGTGAAGGTATGCCGAGAAACTGATACACTTACTGTGTTCAGATACGCGTGCACTTAAAGGTGATACCACTTTGTGAAACGACTTCTAGAAGTAGAAACGGAGTTTGGAAGTTGTTTTTGAATTTATTGATATAATTCAACGCAAAAACTAGAAGTTATTTTCTCCTTGAATTTACTTTACTGTTTACAGAATACTCGTAAAAATTATATATCAGAAATTATGGCAGAAATTAAACAGCATGGGCTCATCTACATATGAATTGAGGAAATTGTTATTATGGTGTACGCTTCATGTTCAGTTTTTTTAAGCAATTATCTATGCGGTCATGTAGACAGAATGACAATAGGCCCTTCACTAGGTTTAACTTTACTTGCCTATCTTTTTATGTCAGAATTAGAAAACAGTATTATGAAGTCATATATTCCAATTGCAGATACATGGATGATACTTTTGTTGTATGTGAGAAGACGAGAGACGTAAGTAAATTACTGACAAGTTCTAATACACCAGATCTGTGAATAAAATTCTATGATCTGGAGAATTCAGTCAAAATCACTTTCTTAGATGTCATCTTGACCACATCGCAGATGGAGAAGAAATCATAATTAGTGTTCACTGTGAATCATTTTAGAGTAAGTGGAAAACACAATTTAAAGTTTTTCCCCACTTTGGTAGGAAAAGAATTTGATCAAATTTCCGTTTGATCAAAAGCACAATCGTGTTACGATTAGAAAGAGTCACAAAATCTGATCAACACATTCAGAAAGAATAAGTTTTCAGAAAATTGTATCAAGAAGTGGGAACAAGCCAGTCGTCTCCACATATGGCAAGCAGCAAATGTTTGTAAACCTCCAGTTTAAGCATAATAATCTAACCAAAACAATTACGAACAGACTTCAACGATCGCTGAACAAAATGTTGCTTGCAGCTACTTTGAAACACATGTATCTTACCTCCGTATCTGAAAGATAAGATTTTACTTACGTTTATAGTGATATGTAGTCATAAGTTAAACTCCTCATAGTGAGGCCAGTTATCTGAAACGCATTAGGAGAACCCCTTCACAACGTGTGAATGAAAATCTCCGGACATGGTTAGCAAAAAGGAAAACAAAAGAGATGATAACCAAAAGCTGCTACCTTGACGTGGCTTGCATATCACAATGACCCAACAAGCTACACTGACTGGAGCACCTTTTTCCTCGACATCCTACCATACCAGAAAGGTCTGTTCGATAGTAGTAAGGTGAAACGCAGTTACAGTTGTAGTGTAAATTACTACAATATGTTACGGGTCTGAAAATGAAGTCGTACTGCTGCTAGCTGGATGATGTTTGAGAGCAGTGAGGCGTTTCCCATAGATGACCAGCAGTGCCACGTTGGTCCAACCTTCTCTTTGGGAAGAGGGAGTTAGAAAATGTTGGCCGCAAAAATAACACACAGCACTCTGCCCCGTGATCTTCAGGTGCCGGTAGTATGCGTTCTCTCTTGTCAGCGTTAGAACACAACCAGACCTCAAAACAACATCCCGCCAAAGGCCGTGTGTGACAGGCCTTCAACAAATGTTTCATGGGCTCTGCGATCTCACAAATAATTTTCGCTTACAGATACATCACGAAGAAGTAGCCTTCCACAGTGCGAGTGACCGAGAAGTGTCAACAGCCTGCACACTTCCAGTAGTACACAAGACTCAATTAAACATAACCTATCCTGATCTGCTCTGTCTCCTCCTTTGTCTTCGCTTCCTCATACTAATATTAAGCCTCTTACACCTCATCCGACCTATCACTCTGTAACGATCAAAGCCACCCGAACCTCATTCTTAGTCACCTAAGACCTCACCATCAGTTTCATGTAGGAGCTTTCAACGTCCAAACTCTATGTCAAATCGGATAGCAGGCGTCGCACTGCTTTCCAGAACTCTGAAATCTCTAGCCACAGATGTATGATACATGTAAAAAAAACCGGAATGTGGTTAGTAAATTGACCTTAACGGGTTGTAGTAGTGGATCTTTAAAATTCACCTTACGAGTATCCGGAGACCCATTGGCTAGCTCTCATGAATACCCTAATGTAGGCATAGCATTGAACTGTAGGGAGAAAGTGCGCTTCTCCACTGGATTCTAGTCAACAGCCATCTGTGTCCTGTTTGACTGAATGGATCTGTCAGGATTAGGAAGGATTGTGTAACTGGGTGATGCCTTTTCGTAATATCCGCCTGTTGCAATTTCGTCCTAATAATCACTTGTTTCTGGCCAGCGCTAACTTTAGGCATACGGAAAGGCACTGTCTCACATGGCCTCCACTGACTTCAAACCAACGATGGACACAAATGTATCACATTGTTATAAGCTGTTGTTGGAGGATTGAAGCTCTTTCTGTGGTAGAAGTTGCGACTCCGATCACGCGCTAGTGTGGGATCGTGTATGTCTGCTTCTTACTGGCAGCAGAAAACAGGCGATAGTGAAGTTTATCTGTAGTCGACAGTAAGATGAAGATGTCAATTACGCATTCAGGGAGGAGATAAGTAAAGATTTATCTGAAGATGAAAGCAATGCTCATGCTGAGTAAAACTGGCGTGATATCGGGTGTGTTATCAGATGAGCTTAAGATATTGGCTGCTATCATTCTTCGCAAAACGCACGATAGAACGATTCGCGAGGAGCAGGATGGGTTTCGTTCAGGTCATCGATGAACTGATCCTGTGCGAAGGTTTACAATGCTTCGGTGGGAGTTGTGGACTATGGGTGTGAAATCTAGCCTTGCGAGCCGATGATGTGCGAGTGTGTGTGAGGGTTTATAGATAGTTGTCATTTGGATTTTCGACAGCTGTGGTTTTCTCCTGGGATGTTAACCGTCAGCATTCATGTTTATCTTCGTCATCGACACTAATGGATGTAAGCTTTTCATAATCCTTTGTATATTTCCCTACTCTAAAGCCGAATTCGTATAAATTAACTTCCTTTGGTTAGTGAATATATTTTGCCCCCTGATCGAAAATTATTCTGGAACATTATGTCCACTGTAACATATATTCACGAATGTACAGCTCAGTAAGTGATTTCGTCGAAAACAAAAATTTTACTTCTCTGCTGCGGCGTTTTGTCGTCTGATTGACTTGCAGTATGCATACGAAGTTGTCCTGATGGGAGAAAACGCTGACAATATTCAGTCTTCTGGACGCCTTGAGCAGAAATCCTAGTTTGTTTGGCATGTGTCTTGCACTTGTCAAATGTAAGATGATGGATGGTTCAAGACTGTTCTACAACTTCTTCCAGTTTAATGGTACGGACTGAAATGACTGAATGTGTCGACCACTCCACTTACTTGGTGATTTGCATCAACCCGAACGGCTGGCTTGTTGATGAAATCTCGATAGAATTCTAACTGATATCGCATCAATCAACCGAAATCCTACGAAATAAATGGTTATACTAATTCAATTACAAAATCATTTAAATGTACAGGTAACTCAATATTCAGCTTTATGTAACCACTCAACGTATGCTGTTTCGTGTGAAATATTGCATTTCAGGCTAAAGCCCGATGAGACTTCAATTTAATCACGTATTCACTGTAGTTCTTATCTCCCTGAAAGCTTCGCAAATTATTATGATTAGCCTCGAATGTTTTCAAATCCTAACTTTTTGACTGAGAATTCATCATCTTATTAAGGTCGGTATAATCAATTTTTAAGCCGTTTGCTTTGTTACAAGACAAATGTTTGCTATCTCTCTCTTATAGCCTCCAAAACACTGTATATTGAAATCAGTCACAGATGTCATATTTCTCTTGATGAGTAGCTGTCATGCTTTGCGTTGATCCCCTCTTATCAAAGGCCTGTTATCTACAAATATCGTAGAGGTGTTGCCCCCACCATATCCTGAGATTTCCGAAGGCTAAGTAAACAGCCGAAAAACTTCAATGCAAAGTACCATATCACAACTATGTAGCACTGAAAATTTTCAAATATATAACATTTTTCATATGCCTTGATCATACTATTTTAAAACTGCTTCTACAGCGACATTTGAGGTATCTGTCATAGTTGCCGAAGATGTGTCTGGATAGCGAAGATAGTTCCCAAAGTAAAAGAGAGAAAGAGCATGCTAAAGGTTGTCAAACATTCTAAGGGATACCTGAGTCATGCATGTTTACCTCATCTTAGTAACAGATCTGTTAGCAGTTGAGTTTATTTAGCACTGCCAGAAGTAAAACTGGCTAAGATTGAATAAAACAAAGAAATTGTGCAGCATTTTGAAAAATTATGGAATGGTACTCCTAAATCGCTTGTACTTCTTACGGCAGGGACCTAATATCGTCACAATTGAATGAATCCCAGGAACTATAAGAGTTCTATGTTTAGAAAATTATGTGCATGCTGCATAAGGTACTTGTTAGTAGTCATTTGCTCTGTTGTGATCGTTATCTTTTTTAGTAACTACGAGCAAATATGATGAACATGAACTGTCTGGTGGATGTATGATTCAAGCTTCAGAAGCTTATCAAATTCTTTTCTTGTTATCTCCAGTCTTAGTGATCCTAGCGCCTATGGTTTTATCTGACTGGCAGACTATTAGTAACAATACTGTGTATTGTTTCAGGGAAGAGTTCATTTGAACTCGAGAAATTCGCGCAGTAGGTTAACACAAGCTGAAGCACCACCTGTTGGAGATACTATCAAATCTATTCATTGTTTTGCATCAGGACGAGCATTATAAAGGCAGCATTGAAAATAAGATCGAGACTGCTTTGACTCTTAGTTTCTGAATTCAACATTGTCATGAATATAGTTTTCGTGGAGACGAATGAACCGATAGAATCCCAAATGCCATACTCAAGCGATTGTCAAGAGGATTTATGGTGAATTTCAGCAAATACAAATTGAAATAGTGGGAATCCAAGTCCTATTATTTTATGGGTGGTAGTCAATATGGTTGAAATCTCTACTACCCACATAGTTTTGCTGACATTAGCGTTCGCACTGTTGAAGACGCTGTGAAGTTAGTGCTATGCTTTTTTCTGATTACTGGAAAATTTCAGTTATTTGTAATTACTATTCTGGAAAATGACTAGACATTTTAATAATTTCAACAGATATTCGTAGCACTAACCACAACGATAGGTAGTATAGACATTATAGGGAGAATATTTCTCAATGTCAATCGATCAGTTAAAAGTGGGTGTCTTTTATTTGAAATCTTATGTGAACTCCAGCTTTCAGACTTGAATCTGGAGCTAGAAATTCGATCTCCTAAATGATTTCTAATAAATCTCATGATAAATAGGAAAAGAACATATCTGTTTTACTATTATTTATCTTAAAGAGGATTGATTGGACATCAAAACACCACAATAAAAGCCTATATGTATTTGTAAATATAAACATACATGGTTTGCGGTAATCCTTCGAATTCCCGGTGTGAAAGGATGCTGTCAGAAATTCTGTATAAAACCCAGTGTAATAGATGAATTTTTCAGATACACTAGGTATTATATTAGCTTTTAGAGGCTGTGAATGCAATCCTGATAAGAAAATATATCAACCATAAATTCCCTCTATTATTTTGAAATCCACAAGTGCAAAAACAATCAAAAATCAGAAACGAAAAGATAAAGCAGCTAAAAAAATAATTTCCTTCAGACCAATTTATTTACCAAGGCTGTACAGTCGTATTTATTAACGTTGGAAACAGTGTAAATCGAAATCAACACTGAAGGTCAACAGCCGCCAAGGTAGAAGTTTTGGATTTCAACCTTGGTTCCATGTTACTGTGAGCGGAAAATCGTTACTGAATAAATTTTCGCCTCCGCTGACCGATGGAAATAAGTATCCACCTTCTGACTCAGTGGCTTCATTTCCAGATGAAAACTATACATAAATGATGTCTTTTCTGTCCAATAAATTGTCTTCCTTACAGTCACAGCCCGATCTTTATCTTCTGGTTTTGTCGGCTTAGTGAAGTATCAGTTCTGAGAGGGAACAGTAGTATTTTCTTATTACTCTTTCAATCACTTCCACTTGGTCATTTTAGAAGCAAATAACAGTCTACTATTCAGTAATGCCACGTAAGTACTGTAATGATCATGATTAAAACAAAGAGGTGGTTTTAGAAACAAAGAAATTTCGTGGTAATACATGAATAATAAAACTATGGGAAGAGGAAAAGTTGAACGTATTTCTTTTGCATACAGAAATCTCGCCTGAATTGATGAATAACCCATGCCTTCATCGTGTACAGGATGCGAAATAATACTTCTTTTCAACCGTTCTCATTGACTTTGAATATTATCCTGAAGGAAGATTGTGTTGAAGCCATGTGACCAGGATTAACTAGGTGGTCAAAATTGCGACGAATGGTCAGCATTCGCCTTTTGACAGAAGTGCAAACTTTGTGCAGTCGACATAACTAGCCCTATGGGAGCAAGTGAACTTGTTAACATATATTGAGATGGCACAAAGTGGGAGTTTGTCCTTAGCACTTAAGAATTGATCTATCGCTCGAAAGACTCCAATTTAATTTCGTCTGCTGAGTACTGATGGGATCCTATCAATCATTTTGCAATGCACTCACCAAGATAGGAGGCTAACTATCGTGGTGCACTATGGTAGATGTCAGTTGCTTGGAGTCAGTCAAAAAGAAGCCGTAGACCTAGGCTTCGAGCTTTCTGATACTCGTCAGCAAGAGGACGTACATCCCCTCAAGACTGCAGATAAACTTGCTGACTGATAGTGCCTAATAGGCCGAAACCTAGGTTCAGGGATTTCTGTTGACTTCCTCCGATCAGCTAACAGGCAGGAATTACCGGTCCATTGCAGGAGATCTGTAGTTTAGCAGTGAAGATCTTGGTGATCTAGAGAAATTGTTCTTCATGAATTCCGCTGCACGATAATCCAGAAATGAACATCTGTAATTCTCTGTATCTGCTACGTTGAAAAATGTTCCCCTGCAGGTTTGACGTTATTATAACGTGATACGCCTGTTTAATCAAGCTTCTTCCTGGTGTACGTTTCCCTATAGATTTAGGCCGGAAAAAAGAGAGATGTGGGCTGACTGATCGTGCAGCAACAACAACACACAAAAGCGTTCTAAACGAATGAATGCATCTGTAGCAACCAGAAAGCATCATGAGACCAACCAAAGCCTATTCGTTATCTCCGCCTATGCCCCCGATGACTGCAGTTAGGATACCTCAAAGGATGAATTCTATGAAAAGCAGAAAGCAAAACGTTCAAATATAGTCATAGCAAATAATTGAAGGAAAACAGCTGAATTTATCGTAAAGGCATCTTCGGGTTATTTACGGAATCCCATGACAAAGAACCGACAACAGTGTTAGCCTGTTATAATCACTTGTTTCTTGGCTAGCACTAACCCCAAGCATAAAGAGAGACACGTAATCACATGGCGTCTGTTGACATGGGACCAAAAATGGATCACATTGCCATACACCATCTTTGAAGAGAGTTCGTGGAAGGTTGCTGCTCTTTCTGAAGTATCTATTAGGACTGGAAGCACACGTTAGTACAATCACGAGTATGTCTGTGTCTTGCTGGTCGCAGGAAAGAGATGGCAGTAAAACCTGTCCATACTCCGTGGAAGATGAGAACGTCGATTACATACTTAAACGGTAGGTGGTTAGGCATTCACCTGAACATGACAGCAATACTCATCCTGAGGAAACTTGGAGTGATATTTTGTCTAATGTAGAAACAGCGATAAAGACAGTTGGTGACCTACGCCCAGAGGTTATGAAACGTCGACGGATTTCCACAGCGTCATTCCAACTGATTGGTGCGAGAAGACCAAGTACAACTGGCTTTGACCACGATGGAGAAAAGTGAAATAAAGGTAAATTGACCAAGAGTCTTCTCAACAATCCCGGGGAAAGTGGTGGGTGACAAGAGCGAGAGATATGAAGAAAATATCAACGCGTGGTAGCATTCAGCAACTTTCCAACCCAATTAAGAAGTCGATAGATCCATCACCGGAAGGAATAGAATTCTGATAACCCCACGGGATAGGCGGCTAGAACGTTGGACTAACAGTTTGAAGCACAGTTCAACTGGCTCCTAGCAGCGCTACAGTTGCCTAGCCGATAGGCAGTCTGATCGGCGTGTGAGCTCCAGTCCTCCAAATCTCGTTGAAACTGAATAGGCTATCGAACAAGAAACGATGCTAAGTTAATCAGACCGTACACTTTATATAGGGGATCGAAAAATTTTGCCGTCTTTGATTTATGAATTACCACATTAACTTATGAGTGCAACAAATATCGTAGTATCATGATAATGTGGAACTTCGTATCACAAACTAAAATCTGCAGGAGTACCATTGGGAACTAACGAGTGATTGAACAGTTATTTCATCTTTGCTTGAAATTACCCAATATTGTTCACGCAAGACCATACAGTAACAAGTCAAATGTCTTTGCAAGTAAGGTGTCATTTAGGAAACAGGTTGATATCTAGTTCACAATTTCCAACTTCTGTCAATGTGTGACATGGAACCATTATCAATGGTTGGCGTCAGCCGTCATGTCCCATTCACTTGACGCCATAAACCAAGGTTACTCTTTGGAAACTCAGATAGCCAACCACCGAATGTCATTTGCTTTTTAAACACCTGACCGAGTGTTCAGTTTTGGCCGGTATCGCCTTGTGATGAAAGCTTCTTGGAGTCAATGCTCTCCTGGCTAACTAGCTATAGTTAAAAAACTTTTAAAAATTATGTATGGTGATATAATTCTGAGGCCTAGTTAATAAAAGCAACTCGGATATAAAGGTGATCCTATAGAATAATTTCTATATCTCAAAGGTCATTCAGTTGAATAAGACCACTTTATTTATACATTGAATTCATTTGATGACTGCGTACAGCGTTCACTTTCCCATCTCAAAAAACATGCTCACAAAGATTTATACTTTGCTTTGAAAAATTTTGACCACGATTTCGCGTCTCTGCAACATTTCCCAATTTATTCCATTTATCATCAATTATTTGCTAGTTTTGAGTTTTTGAAATCATTTTAAAAGAATGTTCGCACTACTATAAACTATTTTAGTAACCTTGGTGAAACCATGCATCATATTCACTTTATTATAATTCTAGGTGCTTATTTGAGGATTTCACTCTAAAGCAACGACGCATTTCTGTATATGTGAGTCGGTGTTTGCTAGCAGTTTTTGAGAAAACTTCATGACAGCTGACTCTCATATCAATTGTAGAACACGATCTCCTTGAAATAATTTATCATAGAAGCCTATGAACTAAGCAAGTGTCATTCGGATGACAAAACACTAGTAGATATCAGAACAAGAGAGATTATGGCGATCTAAACGAAATCTGAATTTGGGATCTTTATCATGTTCACTGTCTAGAGTTAAATGACCTCCTCGCTTTCCATATTATCTGAATGCTACTAGCGATCATCACTAGAAGCATTTGTTTTTTATTGCGTCAGTAGACGAGGGCTGATTAGCGCACACGTTGATCTTAAATTCACTGCTATTGAAGGACAATAATAAAAGAAATCAAATACGTCATTTGATTCTACACTTTGGAAAACAACCCTAATGACGTAAATTATATGACACGTCAAACCAATGTTCTGAAAATTCGCTGTATTCATCGAACAATCAAACAACCGTGAGACTTCGTAAATATTCGAAACGTAACCAAAGTTATTCAATACACATTGAAAATTCGCGGGAAAATTTGTACGCAAGTTAAGGATGTTCATATAATTCTTCAGTTCCAAGCTTTCTTCAAACAGAACCTAAAATGTTATAAACCATAACTGCAGAATGATCGCATTTATTGTCACATACTCAATTTGAAACACAACAGCTATTAGGGACATTGTCAATCTCAAATTGTTCACATAAATAAATACTTGATGAATCACAGAAAAAAAATGGAGTAACTTTAAGAACAGGAAACAAAAAGGGAACAATTGTTTTTGTTTAACTAATTGAGCACCAACTTGACAATTTCAAGTGCATGCAATACATCGCACAGTTATAACAAACAACTACAGACGTACATACACCATGACAAAATTGTATATTGTGCAATTTCCAAATTCGGGAAACAATGTAACTAAGAAACATTGAAAGAATGGGAAAAGGCAGCTGACATTGCAAATGAAAAATAAGAACATTTTCAAAATAACTCAATGAAGTTCATTTACTGCATCAGCAGGTGGAAGGCAGTTGATAACTGGAGATAGAAGGTTCTAATGTATGACTCATGCAAGGAGCAATAATCTCAAGAAACATCTGAAAAAGAGAACAAAACAATGAAGAAAATGCGTAGTTATCTCCACATATATGTAAAGTTCGCAATATAAAATTAGTAAAACAAAGCGCTATAAGGATATATTATAAGAGAAATGCGTATGCAACGAACTATGCAATTTTGTAGGATAAATCACCACCAAGTGCGAGTGTGTTCATTACGAAAAAAGTAATCAGAATATCTACGACTATTATACATTTCAAAAAAGAAGGAACAATAAAAGAACAACCTAAACCAACACATACGTACTGCTCAGGTTATACTGACTTAAGTTACTCCCACGAACAACCAGAGAAAACTGCTGTAAAACGTAGCTGAGTTCGGCTTATCGGAGTTGTCAAATATTATGAGCATTTCAGAAAAAAATCAACGAAAGATTCAAGACACTTAGAGTAAAAGAAATAAGACAAGGACCAGATGGGACGAGTACATGTTTTAGACTCTAACCAAAGTAATCCAAGACGTTCAGCTAGGTTGTTCACACCAGACACGTTCCTACACGAAGACACAGAACAATAGGCAAAGACTTCATAGGTTAACACCACAAGTGGTTTTCCTGAATTTACTTTCAACCTGATGCTCCTTATGGTTATTTGACGCGTTAGGGTAGATAGTGGCTATGCACGTATAAGACATATCCTAGCCATCTTAATATAGCATGATAAGAAGTTACTTAGTGAACACATGCACGACCAAACACTATGCAGTAGGTTACATTCAATGTGTGTGGGGCGGTTAGTTGTTGTCTAATCAGCGCTAGGTGGAGTAAGGTTCCAATTCTTGGTCGACTGAATGAAAGTTGATTGTTGAAACTAATGTACTATAGTCATTTTCACTTCATGACAATTAAGTGTCACTAACGAGCTGACCAGTTGCCTAGCTGCTAGAATATAAAAAAACAGTTATTGCGTATGGACTAGGCAAAACAAAACAAGAACCTAAAGAAATAAAACTTACAGCTCATCGGAGAGTTCTGAAATCGACTATAAAGCTGATCGTGATTGAACTTAAGAAATGCTTCATATTGCTCTGAAAGTAAAATGCAAACGAGAATTCATTTTGGTTACCTCACCATGTTTAAAAAGAGTTTTTGAATACACCTGTATAGTTCATAGCTGACGTGATTTACTACTGAATTTAATTGTATTTTGTATAGACAAACAACAGGTTACCCTACCTTTTAAATATCAGGTACGTTAAATTGGAAAAGATTAAGCTGATATGATGATGCATCGCAGTCACACATGAAACAGACAAACAACGAACAATGCTCTAAAGAGGTGAACTTAGTTTAATTTAACCGAAGGCTAACTCAGCAGTTAAGTGGAACAAAGTAGGCTGTATATCTCTACGAAAACTTTCCAGGAATGAATAAATCCATAAGAACCCATACTTACATTTAAAACGTTTCTCTGACGGGTATTATAACTATGAATGCACACGTACACTTGAAACTCGCTGATAATTCATTAATATCTACTACAGTATAATAATAGGCGATAATAACTCATTCCGAAAATTAGCTATAAAAATATCTAGTAGGTTATTTGTTACTTCCCAAAAATAAAGCCCAAAAGCTAAGGTCCTTATAGCTTATAAAGTTATCGTCCTGGTAATATGAAACCGCGCAAACACCGATTTGGCTCAGGTCAACGTAACAGAAAAAACATGAATAACAAACAAAGATTTTTTCCTTTTGAAAGGTAAGCTCGATTACGAAATGTAGAAACAAAGAACGTTATCAAAGAAATCTATATGTCGGACTTACCAGCTAATTTACATGATAATATATTGTCGTACTCCTCTTGTAATTCTGCCTCGCGTTCTTTGATAAGGCGTTCACAAAGAGCTGTAACTTGTGGTAAGGTGAACATTGGCACGGAATCTAAAGTAGGGACTGTATGTGATGATGACTGTGAGGATGGGGTAGAGGTAGTATCAAATACTGGCAAATTAGGTTCAGCGGTACGCAGAGGCGATTGGTCACTGTCTGAGTCTTGGCTATCTGAAGTAGGTGATCGCAGAGCCATAGATCGAAAACTGCCACTGCATGAAGCAACCGCTGTAATAAAACAAAATTGAAAATCTGATTGTGAAACCAACTTAAGAACACTAAATTACTCCACTGATGACAAGCTGTTGTAATGTTTTAAGAGTGGTTGGCAAACTTTCACTAAAAATATTACAGATTGGGAAAACTAGTGCACACTCGAGTATTGAGAATCAAAAAATAAACGACAGTACTCACGCTTCCAATATGGTATCCCTATAATAGCAAAAGATTCTGAGCAAATATATTCTAAGAAACTAAACAAACATAGATCAACGAATAACGTAGCACAGAAGTGCGCTGGTTTGAATTGCTACACGTCACAGCAACAATCACTGATAAGGTGAAGAAGAAAAGAGCGGTATCAAAGTTGAAAGTGTATGCGAGGAGAAAAAAAATTGAGAAATGAGCTTGGTGAAAGTTTTAAACCTTTCAAAGCAATCAGTGAGCGCATACATAAGCGTCATTGTGATAAATTCTCAGCTGATAGCAAGGCACTGCAGTCACTGATTCCTATCACCTTGAGGACTCTTATCAAGTTGTTTAAAACTCCCCAAACAGTCAATTGGTTCCATGCATTTGTCTGAACACGGCCTTCTTTAAACCTAATCTTAATTCGACTGGCATTAAACTTCGAAGTTTGTAGTGGCTAAACATAAATAACACATATTCGGTCCACTTCAACCTAATCACTGACTTGCCTGATACTCTCCACCTCACCTAGACATTGTTCATGGTGATTTCATCGGACACAGACAACGTAAAACCTTGAACACAAGTGCATCGGTTCAAGCTGCTACACTTCACAGTAGGAAACGAAAAACAAGTATATATCGAAGGAGAAAAAGTTTTATGACAAAAAAAACTGGGGATAACGGTTGGTGCAAATATTCAAGCATTGGAAAGCATCAGAGTGAACACATCTGTACCATTGTGACCGATTCCATAAATTCCTGTCGTCTCGGCGATCCCAGCCAGGTAGTCTACATTTCACCACATGGCTCAGACCAACTGTCAGGGTCTCCGTCTGCTAGTACGACATCTTGCTCTCACCCCCATGAGTCCCCTTCTGGTGTCACAGTGTCGAAAGATGAGGTAGGTGGCCTAAGTAGGTGCCGCATGTCACCACGCCTTGATGTGTTCTCCATCTCTCTCGCTCTTGTCACCCACCACTTTCCCGGGATTGTTGAGAAGACTCTTGGTCAATTTACCTTTATTTCACTTTTCTCCATCGTAGTCAAAGCCAGTTGTACTTGGTCTTCTCGCACCAATCAGTTGGAATGACGCTGTGGAAATCCGTCGACGTTTCATAACCTCTGGGCGTAGGTCACCAACTGTCTTTATCGCTGTTTCTACATTAGACAAAATATCACTCCAAGTTTCCTCAGGATGAGTATTGCTGTCATGTTCAGGTGAATGCCTAACCACCTACCGTTTAAGTATGTAATCGACGTTCTCATCTTCCACGGAGTATGGACAGGTTTTACTGCCATCTCTTTCCTGCGACCAGCAAGACACAGACATACTCGTGATTGTACTAACGTGTGCTTCCAGTCCTAATAGATACTTCAGAAAGAGCAGCAACCTTCCACGAACTCTCTTCAAAGATGGTGTATGGCAATGTGATCCATTTTTGGTCCCATGTCAACAGACGCCATGTGATTACGTGTCTCTCTTTATGCTTGGGGTTAGTGCTAGCCAAGAAACAAGTGATTATAACAGGCTAACACTGTTGTCGGTTCTTTGTCATGGGATTCCGTAAATAACCCGAAGATGCCTTTACGATAAATTCAGCTGTTTTCCTTCAATTATTTGCTATGACTATATTTGAACGTTTTGCTTTCTGCTTTTCATAGAATTCATCCTTTGAGGTATCCTAACTGCAGTCATCGGGGGCATAGGCGGAGATAACGAATAGGCTTTGGTTGGTCTCATGATGCTTCATGATTGTTACAGATTCATTTAGTCGAACAGTTTCAGAAGTGGTTGCTTACTGGTATCCAGTAGACATACGCATTTTCTGCCCTACAGCACAGTGTTATGCTTACATCGAGTCCACCAAGGCTATTCATTGTCTTAGAATACTTTTTAGGTGAATTTTCAAGATTCAGCAACATCGCCAAGTGAGGTCAATTCAATAACTACACTCTGGTTCTGTATATGCGTCTCACAAACACAGCACACATCTATGACTAGAGTTTCTAGATTTCTGACGAGCGATGCTTGCTGTCCGACTTGATAGAGTTCGAATGTTGAGCGTTCCTACATGAAACCGATGGCGGCATCTTTGAAGGTTAGGAATGAGATCTAGGTGGCTTTGATTGTTTGCAGTGGTTGCAGGGTAAGAAGCTGATTAAGGCGTTGTTTGCTTAATATTAGTATCAGAAGGTGAAGGCAAAGAACAAGACATAGTTGAGAAGGGTAGGTTGTTTGATTGGGTGTTGTGTACTACTGGAAGCAAGCGGACGGCTGACACGTACTGACTACCCATATCATGGAAGGATATTTCTTCTTAAATTACTTGAAAGCGGAAAAGATTTATGTGACCGCAGAGCCGATAAGACATCTGCTTGAAGCGTTTCGAGCATAACCTTTTTGCAGATCGTTTTGAAATTGTGTTCTTATAACACCGGACGAAAAAACGCATATCGCGGGACGAGGAAGTGTGCAATATTTACGGTAAACCTTTTCTAACCCACTTCCTTAACTGTAGAGAAGGTGGCATCAGCATGCGACTGTTGGCCATGCAAGAGAGATACCTTAGTGCTGTCACACACCATCCAGTAGCAGCAGTACATTTTTGCCTCCAGACCCCCATCAAAGTGTAGTAGTTTGCGCAACAACGGTAACTGCTTTTTGTCCTACCACTATCCAACAGATCTTTCTCGTGATAGGACCTTGAGGGGACAAGCGTTTCAGCCAGTGTAGCTCATTTGGTCACTTTGATAGTAGCAGCTATCGGCTAGGTTTCATTACACGTGAGAAACGCTTCGAATAAACTCATGTTGATATTGACAATAATGACGATGACAACATGCCTCGATCAACAGAGTGGAATGTCGCGCTTATGTCAAGAACAATGGCAAGTGACGACGGCGTGTGAGATTGTTCCAAAACATGTCAAAGGGTAAAAATGTAATTAAAGCACCCTTCTTCTGGTTTCCTCAAGTATATCCTTTTAAAGTTGCAGTTGACGTCCCAAAGCTATGAACTCTAGGGTCTGAGAAACGATGTTCGTCAACTGATTCTGCTGTAGTTGTCATGTGAGGACTATTCTTTGCTATCACCTGAAATGACCAGTTATCCAGACGAAACTCAAAAGAACTTCCACCTCACAAACTAGATACTGTCTCTGTTACAAAGTAGTTTACTGTCACCATTCTTAGCAACTTTTTGTGGCAAACTATCAGGTCTTGCTGCTTTGCCTTGTTTCAGGTTTTAAACACCCTTAGAGGACTAATATCGTCATATTCAGGTTAGGGTTGGGTGCCGGGCAACTAAATTGCGGCCGAAACCAGTCATGCTCTCCTTCGAACTGCCACACTTAACGTCCTAGCCACCTGTTATGAGAGGTTGCGATGGGTTCACCCTTTTTTAGGTTTTACTAACCACCGTCTCTTTCATCCCAGGTTCCTCAATAAGCCTAAATAACTGCAGAATATTATCCAACGCTAATGCTTCCCCCATTTTCTTTCTGACATATCTTAGTGGATAACTATGCCAATGACTGGAATGCAGTATGCAACTTAAAAAAAACTAAAAATATAATGGCGTATGAAAAGATTAAAAATTGGGTGCAGTTTTTCACTTTTGAAACAAACTGCAAGAAACATTTCAGAACTCTACAAAGGGTTCTGACTTCCGATGATGTACCACTTGAGAAAAAACTCTAAGCTATCTGGTGCACACTTATGCGGTAGGCAATGAATTAAACCTACTGTTACTTGAATGTGAGACGAATTTACTCTACGTCGATTGAAGCTACAATATTTCATACGTTGCATTACTAAATGAAAAAATAATTTATGAAGTTAGTGTCAACTTTTCACAACAGTGAGGTGAAACTGCACAGGCGGTACACTATGGTCTTGTACTCGCATTGCATCATACTAACATTTTTTCCAATGTTCGATTTCTAAATAACCTGAATTGATTGCATCGAACAAACAAGTAGAATACTGACCAAAAATAAACGTTCGAAATTTAAGCAAGTTAGTAAATACTTCGGGGTATTGCTGGTGATGATGACTACAGTGGGTAAGGGACTGGGGGGATTTGACTACGCAGTAAAGTTAACTATATTAGCCTCTTTTAGTCAAAAGATGTCCAGAATTCAGCTGACTTTACCCATTACACATTTGTAATCGCACTACCATGGTGGGTGAGAGTATACAGAAACGTTTTAATCAGTAACTTACCTACATTTTCTTGAACATGACTGGTGAATGTTGTAGTTACTGTTGGGGTTGGACCACCTAAGAATCGTGGGATCAAACGACGTCGTTGTAAGCGTTTAATTTCTTCCTTGATGCGCCGCTTAAGCTGGGCTACAAAAGACATCGAAAGTGCCAAAAACAAGAGATCATAAAGAAGAGACAGTTACAAAAACTCAAACACCTACTGGGATTAAGTGTATGCAAGCACTTATATTTTTATGTTGTATTACTAGATTGCACACACTAAGTCTGGCTTATTGCCTTGAGACTAACTTGATCGCCAGTGGAATTTTTTAGTCTTATGTAGTGGTACATTTGTGTACTTGAATGGAACATTCAACCATGTTATATGTTTGTGCGCAACCAACAATCCCACAGAAAGCATTCTATCGATTTCGTAGTGCCACCACATGAGTAACGCAGAAGTCAGGCGTTGAGTTTTAGGGAGAAGAGGTAAGTCAGCTGACATGGCTGTGAACGTTCATCGACTAAGATGGTTGGGACACGTGTTTCGTATGCCTAGTCGCCGATTGCCTCGTCACACAATGTTGGTCGAAGTAGGTCCAGGATGGAAAAAGGCTCGAGGTGGCCAGACTAAAACATGGCACCAATGTATGAAGTCTTGGACTGTTGATATGAGCCATGCGAAGCAATGCAGACTGGGTTGTTGGGGTCCGCGGGACAAGAGGAACTAGTGGTTGCAGACTCTAGGCGATATGGTTCAGAATCTACGTCAGTGGCACAGATGCATACACACATTATCCTCATTTTAATGCTATACCAAATCTCACCAATTTCGCATTTTTCCTTCTCTTTTAGTACTCTATATTTCTTTTGAATTTTCTTTTTTTATCTACTTCCAGCCCTTTTACTTGATGTACTGATGAGCTGTGGCAACTCGGACCGTTATTCAGCAATGCCTGGTCCTATGTTGATTTGGATGGATGGACATACCTTTACTCCATCATAACGTTGAAATTAAAATACATGCCAATGAACAACAAAGTAATTTTTCCAACTTGGTATTCATCACGGAGCGACATCACCTGAGTAACCCCTGAAAACCTGGAAGTACTGGACAGCTGTTTCAGTGTAGTATGAGGCTCCCCAGTACCCACGACTTCACCGGGGATCAAACCCAGGTACTTCAGGTTTCATGGCGAGCACGTTACGATTGAACCACTGGTCAGAATCCAATGGTCCATAATTTTTTACTTCTGTCAATTCGTGATGCAGTACAAATTTTCCCAATGTCACCGTTGAATATTTATCAATCAATCAGTCTTTTTCTAAATATTTATCACGTCCAACTTGATTGCCAAACCGATCACTTTTCACTAGAATTTTAAGAAATCTCATCTCGAAGCACGTCACTAATGAGTACCGGACACCGACTCATTTTGCGCTTTGTTAATTTATTGACTTTAAGTTGGCATTGAGAAAAGTAGGAAAATGTGAACCACTGGCTCAACGTTAACGTCTCCACCGCGAGACCCAAGAGTCCAAGGTTAGACTTTTAGCAGTCACATGTGTGCACTGCTGAAAAATCCCACACTGGCACAAAACAACCGTCCAATGCCTCCAGGTTTTTAATGGTTACACAACTGATAAACTGAACACGAAATGAGTAAATCCTTGTAAGCCTCCAAACTGGAAGTAAATCTTAGGTAGAGAACGTGTCACGTCATGTAAGTAGAGGATGCTGAGGTTGATGATACGACCCATTTACTTGAAAAAGGAATCTACAACCCGATGCCATTAAGAGTAATGACTGTCATCACTGAACCACGTCCGAATCACAGGAAATATTGTTCAGTCACCAGCACAGCTTGGTGCAGTGGAGCTCTCTTGAGCTATGCAGACTGATTGTGTTGGTTACGGTACAGGTAAATTTGGTAGGGTTCATAGAGGAAAACTAAATATATCTTCCCTCTGACTTAGTGATTGCGATAACCTCACCTGGTTAACTGGATCACTAGTTACTGGTTGGTCTTAAGCCCGGTTAAGAGGGAAGGTTGGGCATAGGGCTGGCAACCCTACCCCATAAAACAAATCTAACCGCTAAAGAACTTCAAAGCAAAAACAAAATATAAAACATAAAAGCAAACTTATTCCTCGCTGGAACCGGAGAGACAAAATGACGCCCGTTAGTGAAAGACTTCGGGAAGCCAATTAGCCGATGTGTCTTACCCCCCTCGATGAAAGCGAAAGTAAACATGGGGACATGGAACGTTCGCACCATGTTTGAACCTAGCACGGCTGCCCAGATTGCAAACGAGATCCAATCAACAATGGAAATGACCCTACCCCCGATGGCGACATCAAAATTCTAATGGGTGGGGCGACATGAATGCCAAACTGGGAGCGGACAACACAGGAAGAGAACTAACCATGGTCGAGAAGCGCTCGGTGAAATGAACGAAAATGGAGAACTGTTTACAGAATTCTGTGCATTCAACGATTTGGTGATTGGAGGCACTGGGTTCAAGCACAAGGATATCCACAAAGCGACATGGATTTCATGAGACACCAGGAAACACTAAAATTGACTTCATCTCAATGTGAAAAAAGTGGAGAGGCAGCTTACTGGACACTAGATAGAGAAGGGGAGCAGATGTATGTGGTTCAGACCACTATCTTGTGCAAGCAACCTACGAAATCAAGTTGAAAGCTTTGAAAGAAGTTGGTGATAGACCACAGTTTCAGTTGAACAACCAGAACATAAACTGAAGGACGAAACTACGAATTACATCTTTACGTTAGCCATCAGAACAAAATAGGAGACACTGGGCAACACTCTTTAAGGAGCCTGTGTGGAAGATCACTTGAACTCTCTGAAAACTATGTGGAAAGAAACTAGATTACTGAAGAAAAAAGATAAGGAATGGATCTCGACGGACACAGAAGCTGATAGAAGAGGAGGATGGTGAAGCAGAAGATAAACCAGTGCAAGAATGAACGACGAGAAGAGGAACTGAATACAACCCATAAACACTACACTGGACAAAGAAGTGAATAAGAGTGCGCGTAAAGACAAAAGACACTTCTACGACACACTGGCAAGTGAAGCAGAACAGGCTGCTGTAGGAAAGACGTGACAACATTGTATCAAATAACAAGGTTACTATCTAGGAAGAGATCAATACAGATGAAACCAAAAGATGGTGAAGGAGATCTAATTACTGAACAAGAGAAACAAAGGAAACGATGTACTGACAACTTCAAAAAGCTCGTGAATCGACCAACACTTGCATTTCGTCCCAGAAATACCACCTGCAGCTACAGAACTACAAGTGAACACAAGCCCCCCGGCAAAAGCAGAAGTGAAGTCCTGGACGCCATAAAGATGTTGAAAGCCGGAAAGGCATCAGGACCAGATGGGATTCCGCCAGGAGCACTGAAAACACGCAGAGACAACAGAGGACATGCTCACACCACTACTGCAAAAAGGTCTGGAAGGAAGGAAAGGTACCTGCCAGTTGATGGGAAGAAGGGCTAACTCCCAAACAAGGGAAACCTAAGTCTTTGCATGAAATCACGAGGAATCATACTCCTGTCCAAAATATTAAGCCGCATCATTCTGGAGAGACTAAACAATGCGCTGGATTCAAAACTATTACCGGAACAGGTTGGCTGGATTCAGGAAGTACAAGTCATATCCGGACCAAATTGCAACGATACACTACGCATCATCATAGAACAGAGTATAGAATGGCAATCAACCCTCTACCTCAACTCCATCGACTTTGAGAAGGCCTTCGACAGCGTCGACCGACAAGTAATTTGACAACTGCTTCAACACTACGGAATACCACAAACCTTTATCAACCTCATTCAACAACTATATGAAGACTCCACATGGCAAGTGATTCACAATGGGAAGCTAGCTCAATGATGCCTTTGAAGTGAAGACAGGAGTGAAACAAGGCTGTCTACTATCACCGATGATCTTCCTGATTGTGGTCGACTGGATCATGCAACAAACAGTGAGGAGCGAGAAGAGGGGGATACGCTGGACCGGGGAAAAGATCCTAGAAGATTTCGATTTCTCCGATGACTTATGTCTAGTGTCACACAAGCTGAAAACTAACAAGTTGTCAGAAAAGGCAGGGCATCGAAGACGGGACTTTAAGTGAACGTAGAGAAGACAGAGGTGATGAAGATACCCAACCAACAACAACAAACACCAATCACCATCAACGGGAGAAACTTAAAGGAAGTAGCCTCCTTCACCTATCTAGGCACCAGTGTTTCAACTACAGGCGGCGGCACAGACGAGGACGTCAAAGTCAGGATTGGAAAAGCAAGATAGGCTTTCATTAACCTGAAACCAGTGTGGAGATCTTCTGCACTTAGCATTAAGAACAAGATCCGGATTTTGAACACCAACGTCAAATCAGTGCTCCTATATGGTTCAGACACCTGGCGCGTTATGAAAGGCGTTTCCGACAAACTGCAGACATTCATCAACAACTGCCTACGCTGGCTCGTTACTGAAGATCAGATGGCCAGAATAATGAGAATAAGCAACAAGGAACTCTGTCAACGAACCAACGAAGCAAGAACCTATCGCTCAACAAATATGCATTGGAAGGAATTGGAGATGGATTGGGTATACACTGAGAAGGCTGACTGGGGACAGGACGCGTCAGGCCAGGCCCTCGAGTGGGACCCAGATGGGAAGCGACGAGTTGGGCAGTCACAGCTGAGGGTGACATGGAGGAGATCGTGTGAGGAGGAAATGAGAGGTTGTGGGCAGTCGTGGAGCCAGGTTCAAAAGAATGCAGAGAATAGAGTGCACTGGAGACGTGCTACTGAAGCCCTATGTTCCACTAGGAACCCAAAGGACAATTAATAATGGTAGTGATTCCGATGCCTGACCCTTAGAAATGGTGCTTAAGGTTCAAATCAAGCAACCACGGACTAAAAAAGGACTCGTACAACTGTGCGTTTCTTAAAGTCGTCAAGTCACACCAGGATGAGACGAACCAGAGAGAGTGGGTTGTGCTGTTAAAACAACTAACCACAAAATATTGGGGCTAACCGAAGTAAACGGCTAGTAGAGACCTAAGCAGGTAAACTAGAAACCTCTGGTACAAAAATCGCTGCCACTCAGGTTTTCGTTTCATTCCAATCACCTCTCCATATAAATTATACATTATCATATCGTCTAAATGTAAGTTTACACCAATAGTAATCAGAAAAGTCCCGTCATACGGCGATGAAAAAGCCTTTTAAAAACAAAAATAGTGTTTGGTGCTTTCAAACGCTGGTTCATATTCCAAACGATGTACATCGATGCAGTAAAGTGGGTGAGTGAGCTAATTCATTTAACTGGGATGTTGCATCAACTTTTGGTTAGTTGATAAAATTTCGACCAGGTGGATTCGATTTAATAGGGTTCCTTCAAAGTACAAGTTGAGTATTCCACAAAAATCCAAGGCTATCAACAGTAGTGGTGTAGTATTTTGCTTTGTCTTATATATATTTTTTTTAACTTGCCATGGTTCAACTTGCAGCACTCTAAAGCAGCATGCAAAGTGAGAAACAATGAAAAGACATGAAAGTAAGAGATAGCTCAAGACGTCCAAAATTTTGATGGCAGACAGTATGTAGTCACGCAAATACATCCGTTTTAGAGCTGTCAGATAGCACCTGCCTCCCTTCACAGCTCAAATTAACGGCCTTGCTCTGACCACCCTTAGCCGTCTTCCAACCCTATACTACTTCGGTTGACAATACACAGAGGCGGATGGTGGTTTGGGATGTGCAACACGTGTCCAAGTTACCTCAGTCACTGAAGGTTCAATAATTCAACTAAATTACATTTGTTGCCCAGCGGCCTCGTCAGTAATCAAACCACAGACGGAAGCAACTTTCTAATTGAGGTGGTAAACGCATTACCTCATTAACATAAGATTCTGTGAGAACGGTCTCTAAGCAGTAAGTTAGAACGGGTGCAAAACATGCCTAGATTTCCAATTTAAGGCACTAGATATCACTTAGTGTTACGAGACACTATCAGATCTCTGAACCCAAAAATAATGCAAGCACTATAGATATATCTCCACTGAGTACATTCCAGATAGTCATTTAATCTTTTCTCTTGTATATCCTGAGGCTGCTATTCTAATTAGTGACAAGTATCACCGAAAATGAACCAATGAACGTTGACAATGATGAACGTGAATATAGGGCACTGCTACTACACATCAACGACTCAACCTTCACCCATGTAACGAATCAAAATAATAGTCAAAATTAAAAAAAAACACCTTGAATGACAAATAAATGTGCGAATACATCCAAGACGATAGGGTGTCCATGAACTTCAAAGTTGAGGCATCATGTGTACAATATCGGAACTCCTTAAACACTGGACAAAATCAAGATTTTCGAAAATAGCTACGTGCTAGTGTAAAGATACAGAACTAGAATTTGTGAAGTTTCGTATCTAGGTCTCTACTACCATTGCAAGTGGTCAGAAAATGTCAGTTTCCGTCAGTTTATAGGGTTACATTAACATATCTCCGAGAAAGATATATCCAGTGGACTCACAGATGCCATGATTGTGCTTGTTTATCCCCTATTTCTTTCACGAAGATCATACTTTAGGAAGTAAGGCATGTATATTTTACTGAGACAGAAACAGTACGACAGAAATCAACAAATACAACGGAAAATGCAACGATTTAAAACGAAAGATAGCAACAATCAGAAACTCATATAAGGTCCATTCAAAAGTAATGCATCGCAAAACATTTTGAAAATCGGAATATAAAAAGATCGGAACATAATCATAAGTTTCAACTGACTTATTTCAGTTATCTTAAGCTTATTAGTCAACGAGTTTCAGCTGTTAAGAACCAAAGAATTTCGACTTATCCTATACCTATGCTATGAAGTGAAATGCCATCAAGTAACCGTGTGCAGCTAACTGTACTAGGTTAGTCACGCCTGTGCATGATAGATGCTAATTCACTACCTACACATCGATGGTCATATGACGAACTGGTAGGAAGTTAAATGCCTAGACTAATAATCAGTACCAGATGACCAATCTTACCTCGCATATACAGATATGCAACAACAGCTAGGGAAATATGCAATGCAACCACTAAAGTGCATATTTGTGTATTCCACTGATTTATTAAGACAAATCTAGTTGTTGGTGAGTGAGTCAGCATAAACTGTTCCTTAAGACTTGTCTTGGGTGTCCTGAGTTACTCACTTCAGTTTGGGCGTCCCGGCAGTTTCACAAGCCTTGGTGCACAAGTAACAACACTGGATTATGTGGAAACCTCTACTTGAGTCCGAAACAGTCAGGAATCTCCACCACTGCGTAGGATCTTGAGTTTGGTCACTTACTGAGATTGTGTTGACCTAAACAACTTACTGATATTTGCTTGCGTCAACTGTGCTCAACCACTTAGATTTATTGCGTTATCACTAAATGTAACAATTTTGAACAATTCCCCGCGAATTTTAGCGTGAATCTTTCAAAACTGATCTACCAGAGACAAGCTTTCAAAAATTCTAATTACCTATTCATTTTGATAACAAGTAACCTATGTACTCGAATAAGTGCTACAAAAGTCAAACATTGTGTACATAAGGTGTAGTAATACTGCACTAAGGCTATGGCAACCTTCCAACCTACCTAGTTCAGTGCAGATACTCCCCGTTACAAGAGCTTAAAAATTATGACCTGAATAAATAGCAGCTTTTCGGTGAACTAATTTCAGCAAAAAACACTGAAACCTTACAAAAACAACCATTGGATGGACTATCGACCTACCATCCTCCATAAAGTATTTTACAAAGACGGGTACGTAGATTAGATAGCCGGTAGAGCTGACACAGCTGTAACCCATGAACTTACCTTGAGTTGACAATTCTTTAGGAACGAAAGGAGATTGAGGTACTGCTACTTCCGTATTACAGCTTCGAGAAAATGTTTGATATCTTCTTCTTTTCGAACAAGTAGACTCCAAAACCTCAAAGTTATGACTTCGTTTAAGCGTAGCACAAGCCATAGTTAACAGTAAGATATCTGCAACACAAACAATGGACACTCAAGTGCTCTGTCGTAGCACAAGGTCACTATGAACACCGGATGTAGTCTATCCCCAAGATGGGTTGGCGCGAAATGCTTACACTTAATTCATGAGCAGACTAAAACAAAATGGACATTTTCGGCACAACAGTGCAAAAGGCAACACCCAAGGGGAGAATAATTTTTGTTTGCACATTTTAGCTATTTGTACGGAGTGAAACAAGGTATACAAAACAAACCAAATACATGGTATACATAATTTGTTGATACTCATTTCTCACTTGTTTTACTGCATCCAATTGTCCCACCTCTGTTGGTTTGTGGGATCTATGTGCAAATGCCTTGACGTCGCCTGAATAAATATTACGTAAAATTCACTTGGTTGTGGCTGACTATGGAATCCAGTTTCTCATTACGTACTATTTTGAATTCTTTAGCCGAGTCAACTTGTACCTCAGTGAGTGGTATTCTCCCTGAGACTCAAACCTTGCACCCCTCCATCTAAATGCCACTGAATCACGAGGACCTCCTTTCTGCCTGAATTCGCTCGTTCCACTGCTAGCCACCGCTAACGAAATTCTGAAATATTGGATATTTTGGCAACCTCACTGGAGCCCATTTGCCAGTCGAGTTGCAGCTGTTCAGTTCGGTATATCAACATGAGACGAAACGTGTAAGCAAATGGTAACTGACACCCGTTGCTCAAGAGCTGACTTCCTTGTGTCGGTGGCTTGGTGGATAACAACTACGGCCTCAGTAGAAACACCAACACTCACTGTGGCGCAGGTGTGTCAATTCCGGATTCCACTACCAACCACCATCAAGTGAATCATAACACACACTTGCTCCCTGGTTAGGGAATTCCGCATCTTATATGATCTTATCGTGACAGCGTTGGCATCAGTCTTCGTGTTGGATATTCGATCTTTAACCTAAAAGATAATGATGGCGATCTATTCCTGAATTTGCAGGTCCATATCACTTTTACAGATACGGTCCTCCTAGACAGAACTTAGGGATAAAATCGAGAAGTAACGGATATGGATGGTTAGGATTCATATTGGTATGGTGCTCCATACTGATACCAGGCGCTCGAAACCACATTGATATCCCTTCGTTTCTCCTTCGCTGACCAGATTAGGGTAAAGAGCAATCAAGCAGACGACTTGGGGATGGTTTCCGAGCCCAACAACCGGCTTAGTTTACCTTTACTGGAGTTTTTAGTTAAAGTGGCATGATGAACAATAGCTTACTAGGTGCGGTCAGATATGCGTGTTTCACTGAGTTGAACGGTTCTGTTGGATAAGGCTTATAGAGAAAATGATAGAAAATCAAGTAAATAATTACCTTATTCAAAGACAAAAGACAGTGCTTAGTGAAACCGGCAGTTTCGCTCTGCGGCCTTTCAGTCTCAGGTCGGAACACTGTATTCTCTCAAGTAGACCAGAAGACGTTTCCAGTATTCTCACTCACTGGTACTATTAACAATTCTATTTACAGTAAGCGAGGGTATATCAGCCAGGTTCAGTTCATGCAGTCGATTTAAGTCTTCTTTGAGGAGACTGACATCCACAGGTTACTCAGTCTCCCACACGTACTCAGGTTATTGGCACATTACAACGAACTAATTAAAGAGGTATCCATTTGATTGCGAAGGAATGAGCATCCAGATCTGTGAAACCCAAATGGACATCACGAACCCGTGAAATTATGATGAACAAACCCTATTGCAACAGCAGCCTGGCCACCCTAGTAACGACCGCACTATTCGAAATAATTGAGATTTGCAGCTTAACGCGAGCTTCACGTGAAGTTAGTACTGAAGAAGTAACCAGACCCACGGCAGAACGCCAAAGCTAAGAGAAAACCAAACTACTTTCACCCACACTATTCCGCCACGTCTCACCAACCAGTGCATTAGACCATGGTTCAACTTCGTAAGAGCTTCGAAGGAACCTAGAGGTTCAATACTCAAGGAATTTTTCGGTGAAATAAGCCAAGTTGCTTCATACTCTTAACAGACCAATGTTGGGAGATTTGTTCCATACAAATACATGTCGCCAGTCCAACAGTGCTGAAATCTAAAGTACATGTTTTCCGAGTGATTAGTTTGTCTCTCTGTCCATAAACTTGCGGACGCATCAGACTTGTGAAATTAGCATGTACTTCAAAACAGACTGTTTGTTCACTCCGGTGTGCGACCATCTTACTGCTGACCACTTCCTGGCCTACGGAAACCTGCTGTCGTCAAAGGATTATTGAATAGTTAGTGCCAGAGGATGGTTAGGGCTTCTGTGCATAGATTAAACATCAATGACTTAATTGCTTAAAGCCCAGTAGACTTGGACGCCGCAAGCTAGCTATCTTCATTTCAAACGTAAGTTCCTTTGATCATAATATTATTATGATTTTTAAGATGCTATAGCTGCTAGCAATGCTAACCCTAATTTGGATTTGAGGAACCGCCAGACACCACAATGCTAGCAAGGCGATAGGGTGTCTTCTTCAGGCTTTGGTTGGTATCCCATGAGTAACTGAGATTGTAGTGTGGAGCAGTGAGATGTCTGGCAAACTTTGTATAATTCAGGACCACCTTCGCGTCATGATTGCAGTAAACTTGCGTCATGGTACAGGCTGTGGAGTAGCCGATATTCACTAGGGATGTCATTCAATGTTGCCGGTAGGTCTCGTTCAAAGCAGCTGGGCAACCGCATTCTAATGTCGGTAAGCCTAGGTGACCCCACGTTACAGACAAGTAGTGAAGATTTAGACCGATCATCTGCAGTGGATCTTAGTCTAAATCTTTCACATTCTCGGTTACCAAAACTGGCGTGGATGGGGAAGTCACCACTCCGATTCACAATCAGCTTCAAACAGCGACGTCAGGCAATGGAAAGAGATAAACGACTGTCGAAATGTCGACTCAGTGTCTTAAGCGTGGCGTCGGTTCTGGTATAAAATCACTTCGCATTATTGACCGGGCTCGGATGGACCAATATTTTGAAGTAGGAGACGCACCTCCCAGGAATCATTCTGGTCAGCGAAATTTACCTTGAAATGGCCTTCATAACTCCGAACCAAATACCAAAAGCTACCGCAAACTTCCTCGATGAATCATTTCCATCAGACTTACATAAAGAGAATCAGAGCACATCATGACACACAAGTGCATCGGTTCAGTCTGCCGCACTTTACTGCAGCACACAAAGAATAGGATGATAGAAAAGTGATATCAAGGTAGCGAAGCTGTGTGAGAGAATGAGAAGTTCGAAGACAAGGGTTAGATGGAGTACTGAAGCCATAGAAACCGTCAAAAGGCGAATACATCTGGAGGTGGCGACCGATTTTCAGGCACGACACTAACGGTCGTCAACCGCTGATTCCGTTCGTCTTACCAACCCTAAATAGGCAGTCAGCATCTCCCTAAATGGCTCAGACCACAGTTGGAGGCTTCATCGACTAGTGCCACATCTTGGTCTGGCCACTCTGGGCCTTCTTACAACCTAATCAAGCTTCCCATTGCGTGACACACCGACGTAGGAGGCGACTGGGCATGCGCAGAACGTGTCCAAACCACCTCATCCGCCGAATGCTCAGATGACCAATCGACTGGACTATTTTGGCCAGCACCCTTCTCCTGGCCCCAACACGACCACACGGTGATTCAAAAATGTGCGAGCATTACTATGAGGACATCTACGGTCAGCAACCGCCTCATGTCTTCCACTTATGAAAAATGGTGCCACACCAATGTATAATGGGACAGAACGAACTGTGGCACAATGCTGTCATCCTTTGATAGGTAGCCGGATGTCTCACCACCATCTCGGTGACCCACGTTGGCACACGCCGAACGAATCGTCTGTACGCAATTCTAGATTTCGTCAACGGCTGGTCGTTGGTAGGCTGATGCAGCCCTCCGAGCAGGTGAAGTGATGAATACACTCCATCACTTCATTCCCTGTCACTAAACTACTGTAATGGCTGAAGACCGGTCCTGGAGCATCATTTTACATTTGATAAGCGTGAAATCCATGCCAGAGACACTCAGTTTCCGCTCCGTTCGCTCGTAACGTCCTGCATTCTGTTATCGTCTTCTCTTGGGAGGACAGTATCGTCGGCCAGATGACCTCCAGAGAGTATGCCACTCCCAGTGAAGTCAGATGTATCTAAGAGTATGTCCATTCTTATTGTCATTAATATCGTTATTTTCCTTCGGGCTCCTAGTGGAACATAGAGCCTCAGTAGCACGTCGCCATTTCACTCTCTCTTCTGCAGTCTTTTTAACCTGGCTCCACCACCGTCCAGAAGCTTTCATTTCTTCCTCACGCGATCTCCTCCATGTCACCCTCAGCTGGGACGCCCAGCTGGTCGTTTCCCATCTGGGTTCCACTCGGGGGCCTGGCGCGTGATGTCCCCAAATGTTCCTCTCAGTGTTCCACCCAGCCCATCTCCCCTCCCTTCCGCATGTCCATTGGGCCATGGATTCTTGGTTGATTCGTTGTTAGGTCAGAGTCCCTCGTGGCCTATTCTTATCACTCTGGCCACCAGATCTTCACTATCGAGTGAGCGTAAGTGACAGCTGCTGATGAACGTCTTTAGTTCGTTGGAATTACCTTCCGTGACGTACCAAGTTTCTGAACCCTACAGAAGCACTGACTTGGCATTAGTGTTGAAGATCTGCATCTTGTTTTTTACCGCAAGTGGAGTGCAGTAGACCTCCACACCGACATCAAGTAATTGAAGGCCGGTCTTGTTTCTCCGATCCTGGCTTTGACATCCTCGTCTGTGCCACCCGCGGTTGAAACGATCCTGCATAGTCGGAGAAGTGGGTGGACGTAACCATTTCCTTTAGGTTTCCCCTGTTGACAGTGACTGGTGTCTGTTGTTGCCACTGTTGGTTAGGTATCTTTATCACCCCTGTCTTCTCTACGTTCGCCTGAAGTCCAGTCTTCGCTGCCCTGCCTCTTCTGTCAACTTGTTGGTTTTCGCCTGTAGATCTTCGAGTTCGCGCAACGTTAGGCATAAATCATCATCGGCGAAGACCAAATCTTCTCCAGGGGTCTTTTCATCTTCCAGCCAGCATATGCCCCTCCTCTAGCTCCTAATTGTT